TTTTTGTATGCACTTTTTTCTCAGCAGGTTTTGTAATCTTGAGTATGAAATAAAATGGTACAGCGACTTGTCGAACTGGATGAGTTTGTCTGCTGGGTGGTAGGTGTGGAAAAGCTGCTTCTTTTAAGATTGTCTGACAGTTTTAAATAACTGGGAAATGGAAATGAGGGCAGTTATGAGTTTCTGTGTACATGTGCAACTGTGTGTTTTCATTCAGACCTACCATCCTGCTTCTCAATTAGCCAGTGTCAGCAAAATGCTTCTGCTCCTTGCTGCAGGCTCTCCCCACAACCTTCCTCATCATCGTCCTCTTTTTCAGCGCCTTCCTCCTCCACATCAGAAATGCCGTTTAACCAAGGGCAGGGCATGTCTGAAATGTTACTCAGCGTGAGGTGCTCTGCAGGGCTGTGGTCGCCGTGGCAAGAAATGAAACAAGTTAGGGGCAGGCAGCAGGGCTTAAAGCTGATTCCCTCATGTGTCTCTTGTGTCCGCCCTCTTCCTGTTGATGTGTGGCCCTTTTTGAATCAGAACCAGGGGGTCCCCAGGGATATCTGGCCGTTAAACTGCCAGCCAAGGTGGTGGTGGTGTGCTTCACAGCAGAGGGGACATAGGGGATCTTTCCTAGGATGCAGGTGCCTGAAGGTGGGCAAGAGCCAGTGGGCCTGGAGCAGTTGGGGATTGCATCCTCCAGGGGGGTGACTTTCAACTTTTTGGTTGGTGCCTCCCAAAAATGGTGAGGTGTGAGCAAAGCAAATTTAAAGAGAGGTTAGTTTTTTTCTTGGTCATTTTTCACTGATGCTCTTTGCCAGGCCACAGGTTGAGAACCACACCTGGAAGATACTATGCATTGTCTGTGTATGTATATTTTGAGTTTGGGGGGGCTCAGTTTTGGAAGGCACAGCTTCTCCTTCCCAATCCTCCTTAGCTGGAGAGGAAAAGAGGCTGAGGTGGAGGTGGATGTGTACCTTCCATGTAGAGTGAGAAAGCTGCTACGGTTGTCGCTGCTTGCAACCTGCTCTTCTAGTTGAATCCAGGAAAAACTGTTGCCAGATTGTCGTGGTTTAACTCCAGCTGGCAACTAAGTCCCGCCCAGCCACCTGCTTCCTCTCCCCGGTAGAATGGGGAGGACAATCGGAAGGTGAAAGTTAGAAAAATCATGGGTTGAAGATAAAGACAGTTTAATAAGTAAAGCAAGAGCTGCACACTCAAGCAAAGCAAAACAAGGAATTCATTCACTGCTTCTCAGACAGGCAGGTGCTCAGCCATCTCCAGGAAGGCAGGGCTCCATCATGTGTAACGGTGACTTGGGCGTACAAAATACGATAACTCTGAATCTCCCCCACTTCCAGTTTGCTGTTTGCAGTTTTATAAGCAACTTGACCTTCACAATGGGCAGTTGTTGATGCCTGCATTTGTCCTGTGTAATGTGTCATCAAGCGTACTTGCTCAGAAAGTGCATGCAGTTTTACTTCGGTGTGCTGCACCATAAATAAGGCAAAAAATACCTTCTTGTGTAATACCAATTCAATACACACATTTTACTGGGCGCAGTAACAATAAACCTGTTAATTTTATGAGTCCATAGCATCAATTTAAGGGGAAATATTTTCAATATTTTCAAGCATAATGTTAAAAATGTTCATAAAATTAAATCTGGATCCCATTATTATTATCTGGGGATAGCTTATGGAGGATATCCAGATTTACATGGAGGCAGCTCCACTGGAATTGCATTCTTAACAGTCTTAAATTTAGAAATAATGTGCACGTGTGGTATGAATGCATGTGTTTTGTGGTTTTGACAGTGACAGGTGTATTCAATGACTGACTATTCATTGGAAAACCTCTAGCTCACTACTTGCTGGAATTTTGCCAATGCTCAAATTTTGTGTGTTTTGCATTTGTGGGGAGAGGTTGTTTATAAAATAAAAGTTGACTTCTCTCTGAAGTATTTGAACAGAATACTTTTCTTAAAATGTTAATGACAAAAGACTGAATTTTGTTTTGTTGGGGGGTTTGAGGTTTTTTTGGTGGTTTGGTTTTGGTTGTTTTTTTTTTTGTTGTTGTTGTTATGGAATGATTTACTTTACTAAAGCTTTTTGAGATTTAGGAAATGTTGATCTTTGTCCTAATGGTTGAAACAGATGTTTTTGAAATGCAGGAAGGTCCCAGGAGATGGCAGTGTATAATAACACATTTCAAAATATTTCTTGGAAACTCAAAGCATTTCACAATTAAAACTGAGTTGTTATTTTGTAAAACATTCATATTATTATTTCAGGGAATTATCAAAGAACAAAATGATCAGTTTAATTTGTTTACTGATAGCCTACTTCAGTAGACATTGTGTGTCTTCTATACAGTGAACCACCGCAGTATATTCAGTGAACCACTAGATGATAAAATATAGTTTGCCTTGTTCAGCATCTTTATGTGCAAGTCAGTAATAGATTGTAATCTGAAATGGGTTGTAGTCTGCATTTGTGGTTAGGATAACTCACAATTCAATTTCTTTTACAATTTTACTGTAACACTGCACACTGTTTTTCTTCATTATCTTATATTGAAGTTTTAAACTCTGAGACCTAATTTAATGTATTTTTTAGTAGTGTTCATACTGCTTAGGTATACATGGTGCCTCAATTTTAATGACTGTATTCTACTAAATAAATGTGTATTTAATCTTTTTAAAAATCAAGACAAACATACCTATTGAGATTAAGAAAACCTTGTATCAGCTCCATCTTTTGATTTTTCCAATTATTTGAGAATATAGCCTGATAGTAAAACTTTTTTTTTTTTTAAAGCATTTATTTATGACTGTTGAGGATTGTTAGGATGACAATAAACATCTTAGCAATCACATACTTTTTGGGAGAAGAAGGTTTAATTTTAAATAAAAGTATTTATGTACTTCAGGGAATTGAAAGAGTCAAAAATATCTTCTCTTTAAAGTTTCAAAGTTGGATCTAACATTTGGAGCCAGCTTTGCAATGAAGTCTATGTGAATTTCTTTGTGGAGTTTCCTTATTATCTGAGAGTGTTAAAAAGGATTTGCTTCCACTGTGGGAACAATCTTTGGCTGACTCTGGAGGTTATTTCCACCAGGCTAAGCACTTCTCATGTCCTGGTGCCAGCTTTGAGCCCTTTTTTCAAGCCTGTCAAAAACCAGCACTTGTCACTGCAAAGGGACCTCAAGAAAATGAGGTTATATGGCACCATCTGGATGAAACCAATGAATTTGCGGTAATTTAGGAATTATAAAAAGCAGAAATTGTCTCAAAATGTCAAGTTCTATTCATGATTTCTTTGCAGTAGCTGGTGTCCGTGAAGATGTCTTTTTGATCTGGAAAGAGTTGGAGGAAGCCAGACATACAGTGAGACAAGTTCAGAAAATTTTATCAGAATCTGACCAGCGTGCTTCTCAAGATGGTATCATTTATGTTTCTTTCAAGAGATTTGCCATTATTTTCATAATCAGTAATTTATTTGTGAACAGTTTTAATTACATGTCAATTTGGGGATAGTTTTCTCAGAAATGTCTATATACAGGTAGCACCTATACTTGGCATCTAAACTTAGGGTTGCTTACAACTTTCCATTACAAATCTCTGTTTACTACTGCTTAAACTTGTTGAATTTTAACATCTCAGGCTGAAACACACCATTTTTAGTTCCCCATTGACTAGGTTTAGAAATTGTCTAGATTTCAAGATATCACTATTTTGTGGTCTCTCCCTCTCTTCCTGGGCCAGTAAATATTTAATTTTATTCTACACAGTGCTGAAGAATTACCTCATCTCTCTCCCATCATGATCTTGTTGGGCTAGCCTCCAACCTGGTAACTAGCTTGTTCCCCTAAAACAGAAGAAGTGTGGGTCTGAATTCTCTTAATTAAAGGTAGAGGATGGAAACTGATTCTGGATGAATACTCTGACAACTCTTGTGTTAAGAAACATGGAGGAACACTCACATTTGTTCGTTGAACTACTAGTTCCCGCCATTATACTTGGCCTAGAATATGATCCATTTGTTGTTCTGTGCATATTAATTGGATTGAGCCATACTGGAGACAGAAGCATAGCTGGTTTCTGAATCTCTGGAAGGCTTAAACAGGGGATGGTGAGAAGCTACTAAGCCCTGCTAAGATGGAGGTGCTCTGGGCATGCTCTGAGAATGGTCCCCCTGACAAGACTTAAATACTGAAAACTTAGGAATCTTAGTTGGACTGCAACTGAGGGAGCAGATTTTCAGGATCATATTGCCTATATTCTGCATTAGTCCCTGTTTTCAAAATACATGGTGTCTGGTGGTATTTTTTGCATAACTTGATATAAGATTCAGATTGAATTAGCACAAGTCATCGGTGATCTTGTGCAGCTCTTGTATTGTTTTTGCAGTGCAATTGCTTTTGCTTTGGCTAGATGGAGGCTAGGGCCAGTTGCCCATTTCTGGATCACCTGCTGAGGAATGCTTTGTATGGTCAGTTGGTCAGTCACTTGAACTATCAGTGATGTGTTGAGATGTGTGATAGTGAATATTTGGAGCTGGGAACTTTCTCTGCGTGTCTTTGAAAATCTGTCGATAACATAAATCTTCAGGACTTAAGCTTGAGTTTTTTTCTTCTGTGAAGGCATAATACAGTTCTTTATATTGATAATAGTATCTTCTGAATTACCAGGACTTCCCATATGAAGTTAAATAGCTATACCATAATGCATATGAACAAGAAGACCACAATAAAGCTGCAAGGGCAGCCCTAATTTCAGTGTTTATTTATGTGTTCCTGACTATGCAGCTTTAATGTTATTTTAGTATTTGCCTTCATACATAATCATTTCATAAATAAATTAAAAGAAATGAAATTAGTGTGATTTATTTTGTCAGTTCTTCAGCATTATTTGACTGTTGCCCATCAATCAAAATAACTGCAGTCTTTCTGTTTGCCTGCATTTCTTCCTGGTTTTGCCTTCCTTATCTGTTTAAAATGCTCTGCTACAAATTGTAGTTTGTTCTGAAGATTGCAATGTTCTGGAGGAAAAGAAACAGAGAAAAAGAGGTAATTTTTCTGCTGACTCTCCAGATAATGCACTAGTTACCTGGACTGAGACATGACTTTCTACATAAAACATGTGGAAGAAAGAAAACAACAGTTTTCTTTTTAAAATTATGTGAGTACATTTGTGACACTTGCCACACTGGTTGTTCTAAAGACCACAAGCAATCAGAAAGCAAATGTTTCCAGATGAGCAGGCGATGACCCTGCTCCTGCCTTGTGTATGTTGAGGCAGTAGATGTCTCCATAGGTTTGTTTACAGGCTCAGGATCTCAATGCTGTTGTCACTGTAGTTGCATCTAAATAGAGTAGACATTTATACCACTTAAGGCCACCAAAATTAAAGTGTGACAAAAACAATTCACCCTGCTATGAGACCCACTGCTGGTCATTTGGTTTAGGTGTGGTAATGAGTGAGTATAGAGCGCTGTATCCTGTTACCAGTATCCAGAGATGTTCAGTGCTCAACCTTAAGATGTTCCTCAGAAAATTTCTAAGACAATATGACATAAAAGCATAAGAGCAGTCATACCAGATCAGACAAAAAAAAACAAAAAAAAAAAAAACCAACAAAATCCTGTTTCTTTCAGTATCAATTAAAAATGCGAGAAGGAGGGTGTGAAACTAGAGAAAATGTTAAGATGGTACACAAGTGATTTGTGGCTTTGGGTACATGGTGCAATATTCAGCCTATAAAAGGTCAGTATTGCAGAGAAGCACGGTAAGATCTCTTCCAATGACATTGTAGTTTGCCTTTTACTTTAAATGGCCTTCTCTGGAAATGATCAATGGCAATGCTATCCGATGCTCTTGACTATATTTTCAATTCTATCTTCTGATGCTTCATTTTCTCAAATGATTCTTCTTGAAGTTAGACATCTTACACAAGAATCTTTTCTGGAATTTTGTAATTCAACCACTATGAAGGCTAAGTCAACCTTCATACTATTAAGAATATTCCTTTTATATGTTGGTCCTGTAGCTATTTATCTTCTTCACTCTCTGTCTTCTGATGGGTTTGTTCCAGTAACAAAAGGGATTTGTTGCGAAGAATTGTCTGATAAACACCCCCCACACACCCCCCAAAGTAAAGAGTATTAAAATTCAGCCAGAAATATCTGCTCATTCTAGTGATGTCAGTGCAAGCAGAACAAGTTTGAAAATTTTGACTCGAGTATCATAGCCTGTTTTTGAAAATAACTTATCCAAAATGAACCATCTTATTCAGGAGATTTTGTTTTATTCTATTTATTAGCAACCAAAACAGATCATCTATTACAAAAGCATACATCTGATAAATATTTGACATCTGAGAAGTGGTTGCAGAAGTATGGCTTGAAAGCTCAGAAGCTCACACTGTATGATGCACTTGCTGATTGTACTTTTCGCCATGCAGATGGGATTGTTGACATAAAAACTAAACCAGAGGATGTATCTTTACAAACTGATGCTGTGAGTATTGTTAATTTTCCCTCAAGTCCTGTGAGTTGTTTCATTTTCATTTTAAAGATTGAAAACTTGACTGATAGATGAATTTATGATAAAGTGTATGGTCTGTTGTTTTGTAGTTTTTGTTGAAATCAGCTTATTAGTGGAATGGGACAAAGATGCTCATAAACAAGATTGTTTCAAAAGGCTATTTGAAAATTACTGTTTCAAGGACTCCTTCCTGGTCCACATATAATCTGCAGGGAAGAATCAGGACTGGCCGAAGAAATGCCTTGGTTTTCTATGTATTTGTGTGGAGTACGACAAAGATTGCTTCTCATCTTTATTATTCCTTAAAAGTGTTGGTCTCAGCTGCTCCTGTGTTTGCAGATCCTTAAACAAATTTGGATTATTTGTCTTCTATTTGTTTTTCTCAAGCTCTACCATTACACTCTTTGGTAAGCTTCTATTCTTGCTAGCTACAAGAATAAAAATAGTTTGTATTCACTTTTTCTGGGACCAGATTCTGTGACCACCCTATCCCATGTCTATTTCTACCTGTTCATGTGCAACAAGTGTGTACCACTAAAGTTTGTTCGACAAATATTAAAAGCACTGCAAAATAATTTGGTTTGGAACATAAAACATGTTTTTCTTGGCTGTAGGAGACAAAGAGGAAGGTAATTCATGCAAAATACTGCGACAAGTTTGTACATACCTTGTGGAAAGATGGATCCGTAGTTCACTTATATGTCAGTACAGAAAAGTATAAGCAGTACGAGGAGAAAATGAGGACAGCTCTCAGACAAGTGGAAGGAAGGTTAGTGTTCTGTCATGTAAAATCAGTTTGTATTATGTTACATTGGTGTTGAAATGTTTGACATTTACTGTTATAATAAGCTGAAGTGGTTGGTAACCTGCCAGATCAAGTACTAAGGCAGAAATCCATTTTAGATCAGAATCTTGTGTGTAGAATTTCTTAGTAGCCATGTAAGAAAACCAATGAACAGTTTTACCTTTGTTCTCCTTCTGTAACACGAATGTGAAAGTCAGTCTGCACATTATTGGAATACTGCTGAAAGTGCCAAGAAACATTGGGACATAAAGTGGCAGAAAAATTCTAGAATCATCAATAAAACTTGGTAAACATTCATCCTGTGTACCTAGAATCCCTTGCAATACCTCCAACTGATAGTAGCACAGCTTGGCTTATGCCCGTACTGATAATGGTTATCTGCTGTTTTTGCAATTTTGTGTTGAAGGCAAGTTTGAACAGAACAGATTCAGAGTTAAGGCATGAGCTGTTGAGTAATGCATATGATCAGAAGTTCAGTGCTCAAGCTAGCTTCCTAGTTTACTTTTCTGCAGCTGTATAGATACACTCTTAGATTTTGTAGGATGTCTAAAAAAAAAAATAGGCAATCTGAGGGTCTGTTTCATCTATCCTAAAGATGTCCTAAAATAAGGTGGGTTTTATATCTACATTAGGAGAAGAAGGAAACTTTAAAAATGAATATTGTAGAAGTCAGAGAAAGTCAGGTTGACATAGCGCTCAGGGATATGGTGTAGTTGAGAACAGTCAGTGTTAAGTTAATGGTTGGACTAGATGATCTTAAAGGTCTTTTCCAACCTAGATGATTCTGTGAATCTGTAAGAAATGTTGCCTTCTATTTTGTATATTAGGACAATGAGATGTCTCACTGAAAAAAGGAAGATGTGAGCTTTCATTTATTGCTGCTTGTCTCCAAAAAGTATAACAGCCTGATTACATTTAGCAAGGTCAAACAGAGTTTTGTAATTCCTTTTAGTTTATCTTCATCTTGCTGTATTTAGGATAACATTAACATAATGTGAAAGGAGAATTTGAAGTAAAGGGTTATGATGAGCATAAATTTTTGAAATCCAAGCCAAGATTATGGGTTTGCTATTTTTAATGGTTCATCTCATTGTCAAAAAGTCTTGGTAGACCTCATCAAACACTGGGGTAAATAGCTAATGGCAATATAGCTATCATAAGCAAATGTAATAGCATCCTTTAAGTTTCCATGGTATAATTTTTTAGACCTCTGTGGAGATAAGTAATATTTTTCCCAGGGCCATTATATTCTGTCTGTTAAGTGTCTCTGTTTCAGAGTAGACAAGTAGTTTATGACTCTCAAGGGAAATAAGGTTTGGACCTGCTGCAGCCATTACTGAGGAAATGTTCTTGTATACAGCAGCATGTATGCATGTATTTAACTGCCAGGCATGCTTCAGTCTTGTTTAAAATGTAAAACTAAGTCTATAAAGTTCAACAAAGCACTGAAACATCTGTGTTATATTAAGACCCTTCAAAGCGCTCAACTTCCTTGCTGAATAGGTTCTTAAGTGGTTTCCTGAAAAGGGAGGCATATTAGCATATGCTTAAATGATTTGCTAAACTCAGTCTGGAGAACAGTTATGGGAGCAATAGTTATAGTTACTTCTGCATGGAAGTTCCCAGCTCAAACTACCTGATAATCAACTTTATAAAGGTGCTGTATTGCTTTGTCTGTTTTGTTTGTCTCCAGATTCTTACTGAAATTATAAAATAAAAATGCCTTTGTGTTGTTATTAGGGACAGAGGATTGGTTCATCAAGGCCAATATACCACTTATGACAGTGACTACTAACAGGTGCTTATAGAAAAAGAGTAAGAAGTACAGCAATGATAAAAAGATCCCTCGTTAGATTCTCGTATGCAAAGCTCCGAAGATCTTACAGACCAGGTTTCTATTTTTTTTTCCCACCCACCAGGATTAAGTGGCTTCAACAAGGAAGCAGAGGGCTCTTTGGTAATGTGTTTGAAGATGATGTCTGTATTCTTATTGATACATCCCACTCTATGAAGGACAAGCTGCCACTGGTGAAGGAGAAAATATTTCAGCTCATACAGGTATGATAAAGTGTTGATTCTGAATACTGAGGAGCATTTTAGAGTAGGCTGATTTTTTCTGGATGCTTGTTATTATATTTTTTATTTATTTTAAAAATTATTTTTAAAATAGCAGCTGTATAAAAATAGTTTTATGTTTCTTGGTGTGCTCATTTTTTCAGTTAAAAATTTATATATTTTTTTTCTCATTTGTAGAAATATTTTTAAAAAATCTGGAGAAAATGTTTTTCCCTTAAGCCACCTCCCTCCTAAAAAAAAAAGAAAAAGAAAAAAACCAAGAAAAAACAACAAAAAAGCCCTATTCAGTGAAACACCTTTTGGCATTTTAGTTTTTACTTTTAAGCAGTGTTATATAATTCCACTGACATGTTGTGATGTATAATGTATGTTCTAGATTCAGTTTCATACTTTTACAGCAGAGGGTGTAGAATGTTCTGAACTTGCTTGCATCTTACAGTGACTCAGAAGTTTGCAAAGGAACTAGCAAAGTGCAGAATTACCTCAAAAGCAGTGAGTACTGGGGAACGTGCCTAAGACAGGATTTGTCTCACCTAGTTTTAGAAATCCACAATGATGTTACCTAAGCTTACATTAATATTTGAGAGAAACAAACACTGTTAAAACTTGATTAATCTTAACTTTTTAAGACCTGAGAAGAGTAACTGACAAATGAAAATTCCATCAGTGTGGCATTGATAGCAATCATTTTTAGGGCTAGAAAATTTAAAACTATAACAGAGGTTTTTGAGCTGACTGCACAAGTGATAGATTGTAGTGTGATGTGGTTCTCTAGGCAAATAACTACTAGAAAATTATTAGATACTGTACCAAAAGCTTTCACAGACAGCTGCACAAAATGGTGATGAAAAGGAGGCAAAGATTCCAGGCTCTGAGAGTTTGTACTAGCTTGCACAAATCTTCCTCTCCTTGTACCTTCTGTCCAAAAGCAACTTCAGCAAATTCTTAATTCTCTCTTGCTGTCCTAGTTCCCCTTGCCAGTGCTCTACATTTGATTCTTGTTCTTCTCTAAATGATGCTTACTTTGTTTCTGATTTCAATTTCTTTTGATAAGCAGCCATAATTTCTTCCTTATATCACTGTTCATATCAATTTTTGTCTCTCTCTTTCTTGCCCTCCTAGACATTTGCTCTTCATGTAGTTTGAGAAATGTGAGTAAATGGAGACTTATGTTGGGAAGTTCAAGTAATCTTAATAATTGCAGGCACTAATTGTCTCTGTCTCTGTATGTCTCTGTGCACCATGACTGAATATTATAATAATTTATTGTAACCATATAATCAACTATATTTTGATTAAAACTACTTCTACTGGTCATTATTTCAGCATACAAGTATTCTTTCTTTTAACACTGGGTAAAATTCAGATGCTGTCTCTTGCAGGAACAACTGAGACACAAAAAGAGATTTAACTTTGTGAAATTTAGTGCCCAAGCAGTGGCGTGGAAAGAGAAACTTGCTGAAGTTAATGAGGAAAATTTGCAAGATGCTTGTCTTTGGATAAAAGGACTTGAGGTAACATGCCAACTAATTAAAGCCTGTTTGTACAAAGTTATATCTATGTCTTCTCTTTCTGTATGACTGGGGCGTTTTTGGATTGACTATAAGTATTTGACTTGAGCAAGCTGAAAATATAGATTATAGACTTTAGTAGATCTGAGTACAACAAATTATCTGTCAGGTATAATAGTCCTTTAACAGTGGACCTGTTTATATGATCATATTAATTCAACCTCTGGCCTGCTATGTTTAGTAGCCACAATGCAAATATTGGCTAATTTGATTTCTGTAGGATCCATGACAGTGCTCAGATCCTGTGTCTAAATTTGTCACTCTTGCTGCAGGGCTGCTACATGGATGAGGGGTGTCACCGACAGACTTGCAGCTAGGAAGTGATATAGGAAACTGGTGCCAGCGAGCTGGAGGAACATTTCTAGTCCCTTTTGGTGCATAGATAGACAGCTGACTTTAGCCTTCATAGGAACATGAGACCAACCATACTCAGATCAAACATCTGTCTATCTGTCTATCTACTCAATATTCTTTCTCTGACAGTGGCCAAAATATGAGGATTTTTCCCTGAAACAAAGTAGAAATGCTTGTAGTCGGCCACAGTCAGCCACCAGATTGTCACTGTCAGTATCAAATGTGGACAGCAATGTTATAAGCACAGGACTGAAAATCAGTCACACAACAGTACAGATGTATACCATGTTATGTTTTCTAACACAAAAAACATGTTTATATAGTAAAACTCTTCAGCATCATGACAGCTCTTCCTTAGACTTCATAATGAAATTCCTGGGGATGAGGGAATTGGGGAAGCTACATAATACCTCTAAGACTACAAAGCAAGATAGCTAACTTAGTATTCTCAGAAAATACTAACAGGCAAAGACATGGAAAAAAGAAAGTATTAGTGTGGCCTCCCTGAGTGGTTGGTGAATACTTGTAACTGAGGTTAGTAAACTTAATTTTACTGCCTTCCTTGAGACCCAGAAAGTTGGCTCTGTTGAAGCCATGTATGTGGTCCAGCATCATGCAAGTTTGATAATACTTTGAACTACTATAATTTGATACTGTCTTGTATAAGCATTTGGGAATGGCCTTTTTCATCATTATTCATGAAGTTGTAAATTGTTGATTATAGATTTCCTTATAAGTTCAGATTTAGATATCTGAAATGGTATAGGGCATGGTACAAGAACAGTCTACTTTTTTTCAGGAATGACATCTGCTGGTGGCCTTTCAGTCTGCTTTTAACAGTTCAGGCATAAATCTGAGATCAGAAAGCTGGCTTTACAGTGAAGCTGAAATGAACAGAAGATTGCTCTGCAATATTAATCAGAGTAGATCCTTTGATCTCATTTTATACACTTTGGTCCCAGGATGTGGAATAAGGAAGCTGAGCTATAAACAGTAACTAACTCTTCCTGAAAAATCCTTTAGGGATGATAACATTTAAAATTTTGGGGATGACGATGCCATAGTTGAAGCAAATCAACTTGTTTAAACACTGATAAAAACAATGTTCATTTGTAACAGTAGCAACTGAGAAATACAAAATTAACAGCTTTTACCATAAGGTACATAGTTATTTCCCTCACATCATCACCATCCACAGTATGTTCCCATGATACAGTAGAAGTTGTTTTGTTTCAGATCAGATCAAACATAAAACAGATGCATATCTTTACAGGGATTTTGCTTTGGCCCCACTAAAAGATTAAGACAATGAAACTTTTCCATACTGATAAAACCTTACTTTTCATTTAAATTTAGAAGGTTTTATACACTGAATGTTTGAAAGGTGGAAATCTGAAGATGTAAACTATAGTTTTTAGGTTTCTATATATTGTGAAATACATTTCAGTGAGTTTAGAGTTTTGTTTAGTCTGAGAAGAAAAAAGACAGATCATGATCACTATTGTGATTCACATTCACATCACATGTGAATGACACAGGAAAAGTATTACTCAAATATGAGTTTTGAGGGGGCACGATATTGCTTTATTGTGTATGTTTTGTTGGTATAGCTAATTTTTGTGCTAAAAAATAAATGATGTTTACACTGCTGTTTCAAGGGGGTAGATGGGAGATAGTCTAGAAAAAATACTGTTCAGAAAACCAGAAAGTCCTTTACCTATTTTTGAGAAATAAACTTGTGCAAATCTTTTGTGGAGCTTTGAATTATTTGGTTAAATAAAATATATGTTTCAAGGGAGTGTGATGAGTTGGCAATCAGGAGCAGCAGTAGGAAAATATAATAGAATGTATCCTTTATCTTATATCTTCTTATGTGTTTATAGCCTTTTAGTGATTGCTTTTGCTTCTACAGCTCATATTTTCTGTTGCCAGCATTTTACTTCTGTGTTTGCATAAGCAAACAATCAATTTGGTACCAATTTATGCTACTTTGACACTTGCTTTGATTTTTCTAGCTATTTGACATAAATATTTTCACCATTTTATTACTCATTTTGGTTCTTTAATATCCCTTGAATCAGTACACTGTCATTATGGATTTAAGTACAGAGGCAAACAACTGTTGGTATTTATAGCTGCTTCTTTGCCTTTTCTTTTTGGTTTCTTAGACTGGAAGTTCCACAAATACACTCAAAGCTCTCCAGATTGCTCTTGCTGATACTGACACTCAGGCTATTTATCTCTTGACTGATGGGAGACCTGACCAGGTATTTCTGAAATAAGAAAACAGAAAATGCAGTAGTGTGGTGTCAGGAGCCTGAAGTATGAGATAAATATAATACCTGCAGAGCTGAGTCTCTTGGGGTCTCCTGGATGTTGTCATAATATTGAAAAAATTGTATCTGAGAAATGTGCTGTTCATGAAGGGGTTTTGATTAGAACTCTCTGCTCACAGTCCAGTCTTTGGTGCACGATAGCTCATGACATTTGTCATGAGTTGTTTTAAGGATCTGGTAATGGGTTAAATATTAAAGCTGTATGTTAGTATCAAGGTTAGGATTTGTGTTAAATAAAATGTCTCCCTGACTTAGTACAAATATTTCATGAGTTAAAAATCAAAAAAGAATGATGGTCCCAAGATATGGTGGATTTAAATACTAAAACCCTGCAATCTTGCATGGTGGCTTGAAAACCTATAAAGAAGACGATAAGAAAATTTTAAAAATCCAAGTTTGTGTTAAACATTTTTCCCCAAAGAACACATCAAATATATAAGTAGGTACCTTCTTATATTCTATTGCCAAACTGATATAAAGGCTGTGTCATGTCTGAGGAGTAAGGGCCTAATTATTAATTTATATTATTTTCATATAAAGATGTTACCATTCATATTGTTCCATTAGGTTTCTGTGTGATTCCAGTTTTTATCCTACTGAGACAAATTTGATCTTATGTAGGTGCAATTCTGGAGTAACAGCAGGCTGAAGTTATTTTAAGTCTAGTTTTAAATGGACAATGAAATAAAAAGTATGCTTTTATTTTTTTTAATGTGTTGTTACTGTGACTTAAAATGATGCTATTTCATGTTATATCACATTATCTAACACCAACTAAAAACTGGAAAAAAACACTTTCAAGCGGTAATGCATGGTGAAAACTAGCCCGTATGATGAGAATGGAATTTAAAAAATATTTATTTGCCCTTGAAAATTTAGTTTGGTTGTAATGGCAGATATGCAGCAAAATCCTGACTTTACTTAGGTAAATAGCTGTACTGAAGGGCACATGAAATTAATTACTGAAATATATTGAATAAATCTAGGATTCTGAAAGCATCATAAACTTACAGAAATAATATCTTTACAGCCTGATAAGGAAGAAAAATGCTAAAGAATCACTTTTATTTTTGTTCTGATTTTCTTGTTAATATGAAAGAGACCCACAAGGAAGGGTAGATTTATATACTTCAAAATTATTTGAATATCAAAATGTAAACCTGATTTTAAATTAGCAGATGAGAAACTTAAACTCACATCTTTTAATTATGTTTTAATTTTTAGTTTTAATCTTTGGTATTTTCTAAAGACCAGTTGATTGTTGTTGGCTATCACTCATTAAAACTCAGTTTAAAACTCAGTTTAAAACTAACTAAAATATTTGCATTATTTCACAGTTTTGCTAGCTAGGACCATATATGAATATTTTATTAAAGAAGAATTTGACTTAATGTAAACATTCATATTCTTCATTTTAATATTTTTATTACATTAGAAATTAATGAATAGTTAATTTCTTTTTACCTAGTTAATAATGGCTTTTATGACATATACATTTTTAGTTGAAGAAGGGGAAATAACCAAGATTACTTTTAACTATTAAAATGCAACAAACAATTATATTGCAAATATTGCTATATTTATCAAGATTTATGATAGTATTCTGAATAACTGAAATTGTTATCAGAAGTTAGAGAACTACATCAGTAAGTTTTTTCTACTAGATTCTTCAACATTTTTAGACATGGTAGAACTTTAACTTTCTCATCTATTTTTTATTTCTTTATTGGAGGAGGAACACTATCTTTCCTATTTTCCAGCCTCTATTTTGTTTCCTGGTATTGAATCAACTTTTCATTGAATTAATTTAGCTTAATAAAAATATCAACACTTATATACATACAAAACCATTGTTATATACATCCAGTGGTACTAAATACCAATGTAGTTTAATTTCCCATGCTTTAGTAATTTCCTTTAAGACTTAAGAAACACAGTACTGATTAGATTATAATCAACATTTTATTTTATTTTGTTAGTGTATCCTGTGCCTTAATGCATTATCAGTGTTTCAAATTCAGGTTTAAATTAGCTCATTTTATATAATTATGAAATAACAATCCATATAAAATGCACGCTGATTGTAATCATACATACAATTATGTATGATTAACCGATCTATATCTGTTTCTAAGCAACTATGATTAAAATTCTTACAAATTTTCCATGTTTTGATACATTTTTAGATGTCACATGCTTAATATACATTTTTTGATTTTCAGCCCCCGCCAATAATTTTGGCTCAAGTCCAGCTTCATCGTAAAATTCCCATCCATACTGTATCCTTCAACTGTGACGATAAAGAAGCTAATAAATTTTTGTATGAACTATCTACTGAAACAGAGGGACAGTTTCATTATTACAATATTTATTTGACTGATTCTGATGCTGCAGACTTTATTGTGAGTATCTGAAAATAAATGTTTGTTTCTTCATGCTATTGAAGGAACTGCATGACTCACATTATTGTGATTTCATATTACAACAGATTTGAAGTGATATGAAAGCAATGAGGGTGACACTTTTTGCTTATGCACTTTTATTAGACAACAGCAAAAAAAGCCCAAATATCATGCAAAGTACATTTGTAGTGCTACTATTGAAAGAAAAAAAACCTATCTGAAAACCAAAACCCAAAAACCATATGGATCAAATTCAGCTGTGGAAGAAACACATGCGATCTCTGCTGTTTCAGAAAAAAGTTACTGTTTAAAATGAAACTATGATTTGTATCCTGTTAATAAATGAGAGAACCCAGAGCTGAATTTGAATGATGATGAATGAATGAGTCTATGAATTTTGCTAAAAGTTTGCTCTACAGTAGCCACTGGGGAGAGATCTGTAATGAGTGAAATTACTTGAATAGCAGTGATATATCAAGTGTGACTAAGCAGCTTAATCTAACAATCCCTAATAGGAAATTTATGAACAGACTAACAGAAGCACCCATTTAAAGCATATTTTTGTTTTTAATTAAAGTTAATACTCAGTTAATTAGTTCCACAAATTCTAAAAATGGTGGTAATGGAACAATGAGAACAACCAGGATAAAGACAGAGGCAGGAAATTTAGAACTTTGCAGACACTGATTCTAAGGAAGATGTGAAAATACTCCAGCTATTGAAAGGTATCAGAGAGTGTACTGGGCAATTTCAGTGATTCTGCTGTTGTGGACTGTGTGACACTGCACGTGTTGGAAAGATGAGGGCCAGAGTCTGTGTTGTCCATCTCCAGACTTCTGGCCCTGTGGGAGTTGTAAAGGGATCATAATTAGGATTTCCTTCCTGTTTCCTCCTGTAGTCCAAATGATTCCGAGTCAATTCCAATGTTTACTTAAAGAGTATGGGTTTTACTTCCCATTTTTCAGGGACAATATGTGATAGAGCTGCGATCTGTAGAATGACAAGACAACAGTTGTAATGTACATATCTTCTATTGTATTTTCTTTATTTGCTTAATTATTTGCTTGTTTGCTTGGAATGAGGGGAGCTACTGACCTCACTAAATTATTCAGAGATATGGCTGGTCATCTCTCAAGGGGTAACTGGATTGTTAGGGAATGTTTGTCCTTTTCCTAAAAAGGAAGAATAATTTGAAAGACTGTGTTGCCAAGCACAAGAGACAACCTGAAAAAATATACAGAATTTTGCAGTTGTCCTAGCTGAGTGATTATTTAAAATTATTATCAGAACTTGCAGAGCTTTAGTTCAGGAATGAAACACGTTTAAGAGTAATTGTAATTAAACATTTGATTTTCTTTTTTGCTAGACTGAAGACATAGATCTTTTGAAAAGAGAGATTGAACAAGGAGAAAGAGACCTAGAGAAAGTGAAGACCATTCATGCTGAATGTCTAATGATGGATTGTTGTAAAGGAGAAAATGATCCACCGAATAAGTATGTCCTCATACTGTTATTATGTTAATAAGAGATAAGAGCCATCTGTTGCATTTCTCCTTTTTCATTGTATTGCATTTTTAACTTCTGACATTCTCCTCTTTTAAGAAGAAAAGCTGTTGTTTTGGGTTTTTTTAAACAGTTACAGTAATGGAAATAAAAAATCTGGAAAATACACTAATACTGTGATGACTGAAAAAAAAAATCTCAAATATCTTGATGGTATCAAATTATTAGCAAAATTATTAAAGCAAAGAGGTGAAAATATTTTTTTGTCTCCAGCACATGGTAAAGTTGCTCCCCCTGACCTAGACAATTCACAAAAAATTATTGTCCTATAGGTAGAGCTGGCTTGGTATTTCATGACTGAATTGTCACTCATTGGGTTATGCTGATTGAAACATAAATTATGTACAAATGTATTTGTTTAAATGATGGAAAACACCGTGAATGAAATTCAGCTTACTTTTTTCCTCATTTTTGATTATACAATGTGTGTCTGTATGTTCATGCCATATTTAGCCTTTTTTTTTTATCAAAAGATAAGTAATCTCATAGTTAAAAATAGTTTTATGTTTGGCATCCGTTGAAAAACATGTTGCAAATCTCATGGTGCCAAGAACGACCATTCGAAAGGAGATTCTTCTACAGCATACTGAAGGCAGACTCCTGAGTCCCTGTGGAAAAGTTTTCTGCCTCTTTGATTATACTGAGTTTCTGTTTGGGGAATAAACACAGACCTAGCTTCAGACATGAAGTTACTTGTAATCTCTACAAGAGCACAGCCTTAATAGAAAAATAGCTTGCCTGTTGACTTATTTATCTGTGTAGTAATAGTACAAAAGCAACAAAGGACATAAAACCCCCCCAGATTTTAAAGACAGAAATCTATTTAAAAGAGTAAGGTAAAATAAAATGTATCAAAAAGAAGGTAAAATAAATTAAAAATGGAGAGTGCTGTGGAATGATTTCCTATGTGTGGAAGGGCAGGTAACATGTCCAGTATAAAAATGTATAGTATAAATGTGTAAATATAAAGTATAAATATATAAATAAAAGTATAAATGTAAAAATAGTAAAAATGTCCAGTATAAAAGTGTTTATTTCAGATTTTGCATATTTTATTTTTTATTAATGCTGGGATATAGGTATATATGTGTGTGTGTGAGTTATTTTCATTGCTGATAGTAGGTTTACTCTTTCCCTCAGGATTGAAAGTGGCTATTACAGAACATTCTGACCCTATTAAAAGTATGAAATGTTGCCTTAAAAGTAATGAAAATCTTTTAAATAGACTAAGAAAAGACTTCTAAATAGTTTTAAAAATATGAATATTTTAACCTCCTTTGAACTCTCCTTTGAAATGCAGACGAGGATAACAGAAAAGATATTTTTCACTGTTAGAAACATTTTAAATAAATATTTAAATTACCAGAAAACTTCAGCTTGGCATTTTTTAAACCAGTGTTATATGTTTGAAGTAGTATCTTGCTTGTTTCTTCTTTTCATCACTTACAGCACTAATCACAAGCACACACATACTGTGTCTTCTGTAACCAAACATGTTGAAGACCTGAGTACTACTCTTAATAGCAGCGGGGCATGCTGTGCTTCAGAAGAGCCAGCACTGACACCACATCAACAAATCTGGCAAACCACTGCTGACAGTCCAGCCCGAAGGAAGAAAGCATTATATGCAGGTAAGACTAAAATGAACTGTAGTTGTTAGCAGAATGTACTCATTAACTTGACCAGTTTCTGTTAAAAACAACATAAAGCATCCCTCTTTATAGGAACAAATGAAGCCTTTGATGATTTAAATAATAATCTTTCTGAAATTCTAACTAATTTCATTTCAGCAACCTTACTCATTTGACCCAAACAGATAGACAAATGTCTGCTCATCTATGCTTCATCGCAGGCCTTGCAATGACAAATTAACCATTTTGACAGGACATTTTGAACGCTCTGTAACAGTATTTTAACAGTAGATCTTAAACCCTTATCTCTTTTTATTCTAAATAAGTACATCTTTGTCAAGAATGAAGACCTATGTTTCACTAGTTACAGCATTTCTTACACTAATATTTCTCCTTACTACACCTGTAATGCTATGTTTCTCTTTGAAGTATCCTTTGTACGCAGTCTGAAACCAAGTTTACCCAGCTGACATAAAAGAAGTCTTCATCCATGGGAAAGTACAAAGTACAAATTAGTGCTGAAGTAAATTTGTGTTTGATGTCTTGAGTAGGCAGTCCCTTAAAAACTGGGACTGTAGGCCAAAGATGAACTCAAGAATCCCAAACGTGTATTTGAGCAGTAAGTTAGCTCTTCATTTCTTTCCCTTTCAACACCTACAGAGCAAACAAAGACAAGTCTGCTGCGAATCCAGAGCCATAGTGTGAAATTTAGGAAAGAAAGGCCAGAAGAGGGAACATCTCCTGAAAAGAAGAGTTTTTCTATTAAAAAGAGTGTGAACTGTACAACCATTTTCAAAGGAAAGTTGACAGAACAGGAAGCTCTGTGTGGAACAGACGGTAACATTTCTTCCACTGCATTTGTAACTAATGATGCCTCATTTGAAGCAAAACTGTGCAGACCTGCAGTACAAAGGACTGGAACGCAGCAGGGATGCAGAGGGGTGAACATGCAGGAGGGTATTGTAACAAGGTCCTTACAGCTGTGGTCAGACTCCTGCCAGTGCCAAACTATTCAGTTTACAACAGCTTAGTTATGTCCACAGTATGCAGCAGCTGTGATACAGCTATGCCTTGGACTCCTGAAAGTATATCACTGTTGCGTCTTATCACCAGAACAAATAGATTTTGAGAATCTTGTTATACGGTAATGGATTGTTGTTGTGATACGGTAATTTGTCATTATGCTTAATGTTGACGTTAAAGGTGAGAGTGGTGGTTCTAGTTCAATGATACCAATTCTATTTAAATGGAGGTTGCACTTTTCTTAGCCTTGCAAATTCCCCATGCTCTCTGGAACAGATGCATATGTAGAGACAAAAGTATTTCCAATGAGGCTTGGATACATCCAGATAGTATTCATTTCTCTCCGTAATTCTTGCAACTCTGAACTTTATGATACATCTCCTAAGTGGTTCTAAAACCTATGATCCTTAAAGATGTTTGAATTTTTAACATTTCAGCTTCTTATTTTTAGTTCTTTATATAGGTTTTATATAGATCTTCATAGTGATATAGATTAAATTAGCCACTCCTGGCCGTCTCATTAGTGATAGTACTTGGTATCACATCTTGAATTGGGTAATAAACTGGTTAGTCTTTCTTTTTGGGTTATAAGAAATAAATACATACAAAGTTCAATATTTTTTTAAAATTAAATTATTCCCCACCTATTTTATAAATTTCCTCATTGATTAATTAGGGTTTGTCAGGCATATAGTAACACTGTTACTATTTTTCAAGCACCAAGAAACACAGGCCACATAATTCTCATTGATTAATTTAGCAACTGAAATAGACATGATTATGTAGTCTTTGTGACACTGCTAGTAGGCTCAAATAAAAAAAAGATGCTATTATATGTCAGCTTATTTATGTATACTTCCGTATACATACATATATATTTATGTATACTTCCGTATGAGATAATGAAATGCAAATGTTTTATCTTAGATATGAAGATGAAGAAAGCTGTGAAAATGCCATTGAAAAGGTATGTGTGTGCACATATAGATCCATCACAAAAATTATAGTTTATATTTTTCTTTAGTCATTTCAAACTTCTCAAATATATTTCTACCTTGTGCTACACCTTACAGTCTCTTTTTTCTAGTTCTCTAGGTATCTCTTCGGCTCTTTGGTTAAAGACCCATGGCCTGGCTGCCAGGCGACTCACCATCATGGATGCCTTAGCTCCTACAGTTGTCCCTCATGGTACCAAATACACCCCAGTTCTGGACAAGCAGGTAGTTTCTAAAGTATTTGTTGAGGTAAAACTCTTACGCTGTTTCAGTCAAACATAAAGCTTGGTACTGTTTTCAAAAAAATTTCTTTATTAATTTCTGTAAATGTCATAATTACATTCTCTGTTGTTCATTGTAGATGGTTGATGTGTGCTAAATGTATGATGCGTATCTGAATGTTCATTCATGCATCAATAAGAAGATGAAACTGATAGTTAATAGTACTTCTTCCAGACTTTTAACAAGTTTTAGAGCTATATATTTTTCTTCTACAGTTACCAGTTGATGGCAGTGTGCAGCAATTTCTTGAGCACCATAGCCTCTACTGATACATATTAATTCACTGGATTATGTATTTAAGGTCCATAAAGCAATTTGGAAAACTGTGCAGGTGCACAGTTTGTGGATTTGTGCATTCTCAGGGTTTACATGAGACTGCTAAAACCTTTTGAAAAGTATTGGAATTCAGTAATTAAAATTTAATTATGATAGGTGTAGACAATTAGGAGATTGTGCAAAATTCACAATGAATTGTGTATCATGAAGCTCTAACTGCCATTCCACTTAAAGGAAATCCATTTGTGGCAAGTTGCTCTAATTCTTCTCGTATGATGCATCCTATGAAGGTCCTATAAATGTTGCAGATTATTTTCATTACTAATAGTTGTTTCTTTAAACAATACTCAAAGAAGAAGCTAAACAGTATCTGAATAATAAGGGGTGAGAAAGGGTTTTGTAAGGGTTTTGTAATAGAATGTGATATAGAGCTAAGTAAAATATTTATAACAAATTTACAAATTTGTACATTTTAAAATTTTCATATTTGTTTTTTAAATTCAAGAATGGGATTTTTTTTCTATAGCATGCAGATTGTGGAAGCAAAACCAGATCCTCTGTTTTAGTAAAACTAATTTGAACACAAGATCTTTAAGGATTTTTATGAAGTGTGAGCAAGTTTTTTGGAATACAATAGAAAGATAGCTTTTTGTATCAGAAGCATTTTAAAAAGTACATTTTAGCATTTCAGATGTAAAATAGCCATTTCTCAAAAAAAATCAGGCATTCAATAATTACAAAACTGTACAAAACAATCTACTGTAAGTGAAATGCCAAGCAAAAGACACTGTGACTTTCACTTAAACTCTTATGTGTGATTTCTGAGCAGTCACTTCTTTTCCCACCTTCTCAATACACCTGTGAAGTAGAACTTTTTCTTCCATGTTTTAAATAAAGACTCCCTTGAATTCTTTCCAGACAATACTGAGCTGCATTTAAACTGCTATTTGCAAAAACAGTAGTCTGTAAAACAGTGATCATTGAAAATATTCAAAACCATGATTCAGCAAGTGCTATGTACAGGTAATTTTTAATGGCAGTTCATGGGAGTTTATGGTAGTCTAGTTCAGGGCTGAATTAAGTTCAGTGTTCTTGGAATGAACAGCTGCTGTACAGAATCCAAACAGTGATCCATGGTCTTTCTTTAGAATTGGGGATATAAGCACAAAATAACATATAGTTTTTATCACTTTTTCGTACCTGCTAATCCCTGTTAGTTGTCTAATGACACTCAGTTTCTCAGGCACTGGAGAATTATTGTTCTATGTGTAGAGGCATGAGTTTTTCTGGTTCCCAAGCAGAGTATAGAAAGGAAAAATAAGGTTGGGAGTTGTACGTGAGGTAGAAACAGTAGAATTTATGAGCTGTGGAACCTACTCTCCCTCAAGCTTCATGCCAGCACATCAAGGAAAAGCAGAAAATATGTTCTGAGACTAGACATAGAGCTTGAATAGAAGACATTAACAGAATCTTGATTATTCCAGTACTTCAGAAGACTTCATAGATGATAATAAATGTACAGACATTTTTGCATTCTTCCTTCTGATATCTTAGTTTTCTTGTTGTGGAATGCAGATACCTGTTTTTGCTTTTCTGGGGATAGTAAAATTTTGATTTATAGCCTTTTCTAGCAGTGATGATGGAATAACTATGAGCAGTTAGCTCACCTTGGAGGTGCAGCAAACAAAAGGTTTCCATGACAACTGTTCATTAACAGGAGGCTGACCTGTTGTTTTCTGTTCTGTATGACCTGTCAGTTTCACCTGAGTTATTTCAAAGAGGTTAATTCATTAAACTACCATCAGATTCATATCCGGAAAAAAAAAACCCAAACAAAAAAAAAAACCCAAAAAAGACATGGAACTTGTCTAATTTACGCTATAGAAGCAAACCTTCCCTATAGAATCATCTGAGTATCTGTTGCAGATTGTGGCATGTGTGGCAACTTAAAGACAGCTTTGAGAGTCATGGAGTTTTGACTCAATGCTTTGCTCAAAAGAATCAGGTTCAGTTTCAGCCAACAAAAACATCTTTGCTTGGTCTAAAATAACAAAGACTTTCATAGGGTTGTTGTGCTTTGCTTTTGTCTTTAGAAATTTGAAATTTTGGTTTTGAAATAAAGGCCATTTTGAAACATGAATTCTTTTGATATGGAAGTTTAAGTATTTAATTTTAAAAATGACAAAACATTTTGTCACTAAAAAAGCTTCCCTGTGATTTCTTTCTGCTGAATCTGTCAAATTTCACTTGACTTAATGAGCAGTTTTCATTGCTTTAGATGTATGCCTCATGTTTCAAATTTACTATTTGCTAAGAACACATTCCATTCTGGTTTTATTCTTCAATATTGTAATAATGTGTCTATGTTTGTCTGCCCCTCATATTCTATTCAAACTATATTAAATATTTATTTTGCAAATGATGCTGTTTGTACTTGGAGTTACTCTGGGAATGTAGGAGAGGGCTTCTACATGGTGAAGCCCTGCTGAACTTTTAACTTGGTTTGAGTAACATAGCAGACCACAACCATGGCAGGATGAAACTGTAAGTGGGGTACTCCTTAGTTCCTTGATTTAAGCATTCAAACACACCCTTAGAAATGACAGGTAGCCAGATTTCATGGCTCACAGGTCTGGGCAGAGATTTGACTCATCTGTCTCTGGCAAGATATTTCATTGACACGTTCCCATTAACTTTAGCTTCTAAGTGATCTTAAGATTAATATTAGGAGCTTTGATGTGGTCTGGCACTGTTTGGGAACAGATTTATTGATCAGAGAGATGTCCTCAGAAAGAAAGGGGAATATAGAGACACTACTGTTCCTGAAAAAATAGTCATACAGCAGTAATTTGCAATCCAGCTAGGCTGTGATGTTTCAAACACAAATAAAACATCACTGCAAAATTTTCTCAATTAAAGAAATTTTTGTATTGTTTTATTTTATGATTGCTTGCCTTTTATCCCCAACAGGGGTTTTAGTTCTATTTAAATTGAACCTCATCCATCTTTTTGTCATTTATATCCTGAACTCAGACAGGCACTTGGAGAAGCTTCCCACTCAATAGTATGGGTTGAAAACAGTTTTGGGGAGAGTAACATTCTCCATCTTCTCCTATTCTGTCATGTATTTTTTTCTGTTTGTAGTCATCATCAGGACGTTGATATATAAAACAGGTTTTCTTACATGAACTGCTGAGTAATTTAAGAGGCTGAAGGATAATGGGACTTTGAACTGAGAGATAGGAAGGCATATTTCCTCCTCTGTCATTCTTTTCTACCCTTTCTCTGCCTTTTCAAGATCTACTTGTAAGTGTATGACTTCCTATTTTATAAAAGTATGTCTTCATTCTGACATTTCTCTAGGGTGCTCAAATCTTTCTTCTTGCAGGCTTCCAGTGTACCTTTTGGTTGCTCTGATCCTTGGACATGGACTCATGGGCATTTCAGTTATTCTGATAAAGGAAAAGGTGTATGATAAATGAAGTCTTTTTATTTTATTGTATAATAGATGCTACCATTGTCCCATGTCAGCAACAAGGAGAAGCAGATCACACTAATTAATCCTCAGGCAGTGAATCCTGATGCCTATAAAAAGAAGCTGGAACAAGCAGTTAAATCCTATGAAAGGCAAGTCTGCTTACCAGAAATGTATCATGTTTGCAGTCTAATTTCAAGTTTTTTCTTATGTAGTAGGCATTTGCTCACACATGCTTTGCTCAATACTGGTAATTCTGCCCATTGACACACTTTAATACACCATCAACCTATAGGAGAAATGTTTATTTTCTTAAAAAAATAATGCAAAATGAGAAAACAAATAGGCAAGGAGGTAAAAAATAACATGTTGCTCATATTATGTTTGTTCAATGATAAAAAAAGTTAAATTCTTTTACTTTCTGGGCATAAATCTGAAAGCAATAATTCCCAGGGAGGAATCTCCCTGAAATGTACAGTGCTAGCCAAACTTCTAATTTACAATTAAGCTCCTAAATCCGTAGACTTGCAATTAAATTAGTGGCTTGCTTTTTGCTGCCAGCTGCCTAGCACCTAAGTATGGATGCAAGAATGTAACTGAGGAACCTACAAGACATGGGCATTTAAAATATTTTTTTTTGTGAGACAGATATTGTTGTGCTTATTAATTGAATGTTGGTAAAAGCACATCAGAAGTAGACAGGACAAGGACATTAGATCTCTAAGCTGTTTCTTTCCTTGATGTAACTTTGTGGGTTTTTTTGAAGTAATTAATGCAATTATTTGACTACTAATGTCATTCAGTAATCTTATGAGAGCTTTGATTAAATTGTTTTAATAAATATCTTTTTCAGGTTGTATTCTAATGACATTTACAGATGTAACCATTTTATATGACAAAACCTCTTGATGACAAGTGTTTAGTATTTGTTTTCTGATGAATTCCACTGAAGCCCTTTAAGTTTTTTTTCCCCTGTGGCTCTATGATCATACCAGTTCTTTCTAAAGCATGTAACAGCTCTGTTTTTCGTTTCCATTTCCAATCTCTAAATGTATCCATCTTTTCTGATAAAAAACAAGAATTATGATTTACAAATGCTGCTTGCTATGTCTAATATTAATGAAATTCAGTGAATAGAAATCAGTTGGTTTTGTGTGCTCTGTCACTGAGACAATTCTGTTATCAGGCTGATGAAGAATTCACAGGAATCTATATTTGTTGCTCATTTTGACAGAAGGTTCAAGGGGTGTAAATTTAATGGCGACTTCTGAAAAAAATTCAAGTTCTTCATTGCTGTGCCACACCATTGAATTTTTTACATTTATTGACTTTAGTTTTTAGGGAAAGAAAAGTGTATTCTGGTTAAACTCTGATGATCTGCTGACAGCTTTTTCACAGTCTCCCTTAAACTTTGGTGATTGGGAGTACTGTTTACTTATGTTTACCCATAGAGGTCAATGAATCTGTGTATTTACAATAGTAGGATTGAGTTCCCTACTTCTGCGAAAGAGGTGTAATGGAAGAGAGAGCTGCCTGAAGATCCTTATAATCAACAATGTGAAAAACAAGTTCTCATTGCTTTTCCTCTACATGTGAAACACCAGCCCAGTCCAATTTATTTTGCTATCAATGCCACAGTACTTTTCCAGTAATTGAATTTGCAAAAGCTGCAGTTCAGCTTTGTGAATATTGATTGGTCTCAAATTTTTTCTGACATCTATGGATGAGACAATGCATCAGGCCATGCAGGATTCAAGAACAGAAGCAAACATGACAATATATTCCCCATACGCAGATTGACCTTAGCATCAGATTTAGAGGGAGAAAAGTGGTGAGGGCAGAAATTTTGTGCTCTGACAAAGAGAATATCCAGTATTGAAGGAGAAAAACTCTGGAAGCTTCAAAATGTGTATGATCTTGTATAGCCAGAAGCTTTTATAGATTAGTTAGTTATGAGTGTGTACATTTAAAAGTATAGAATAGGCAGTTGAGCATGCTGAGACTGCACATTGTGAATGAACTAAGTAATTTACATTCTAAAAATGCTGGGGTTTGGTTTCTAGTAGATAAAATGAATCATCAAGAAATTAATATTCAAAATCTGGTGTTAATGAGCTTTTTTTTTGTACATGCACCAGTAAATCTGGCAAGACTGTTAAAAATCTAATGGTTACAATCTGAATTCTTCCTAACAATAAATTTATTCTTGTGTTTCCAAAGAAAGTTTGGAATTTTTTCTAGAATTACAGCAGTTAGAATCATCAGTAGAAGTTTATTTGTATAGTATGAAGTGAGTAATGGCTTAACAGTTGGAGATGTTAATAGAGAATAATGTAAACTAGATGACCTAATGAGTTTATAATTTATGTTGAAAAAGCAAAAGCAGAAAGTTTAGTGGTTCTTTTAAAAGATCTCAGAACTGCATTGCTTTGGTATAATCACTTCCATTTTCCTGTCAGTAGTTTTTCTTCATAGCCAGAGTTTAATGAATAGAAACCTGAATGGCACAACTGAGGGGTTCTCTGAACAGAAAAAAAAAAAAAAAAAGCATTGCTCTCCACATGTCTTCAGGCTACAGTTTTCTGAAAGTGTTTAATTGGAACAACTGTGCTTAGCTTAACTGACATTTAATCAGTTCTGTTACTTGATTTAGCTTGCTGATGCTGAAGAGAACCATCCATAGAAAATCCTGGCAGGAAGCAGCAGTGAGTGCCATTAATCCTTCCATGACCCTGAAATAGTCATGCTGCTACTTGATGAAAGATGCTGTTTTCCCATCTTCTCTTGCAGTTGATAATTTCATAGCTGAATGAAAATGATACAGTTTGATGATACAGTGCTCTTGGAATACAAATCAGTGCAGATATCTTGAGAAACTGTGTTTATTTGCTGGTTTTGAGATGATCAGATGCACAAGGAACTGCATTCCCTCAAAAACTGCTTTGCTTTCTTTAATAGGCGCCTAAACCTAATTATTTGGAGAGCACTACCTCAGGAAGAAAGAGAGAAGTAAGCTATCACCTTTTGGTTTTCTAACTTATAGAAATACTTGATATTTTTTTATCACTATTTCTGTAACCAACTGGTTTTATTTTCAGATATTTCATAGTTATACCTTACTCTCAAAAATGTGTATGTGATATGGAGTAATATGAAATTCTGGACCTCCTTCTTGCGGAGCTGATTAATTTTAAAGAGAAGGGCTTGCATTCCATTTGAATGATGCTGGTCTATTCTTAATCTGTATCAAGTGGCAGGACCTTGGTAGGACAGCATGTCATTGCCTTTGGCATCAAGGTAGATCTTGTCTCATCCTGTATAGAACACTTCAGTGGCTGGTTTGTAAAGGTATAATAAGCACCTTTACAGCTTGTGCTGGAACCGTATATCACACTGTAAGTTTGTAGTATTTTAGCTTATTTCTGTATATTGATTTAAAAAACTAGTGACTGTATAAGCAGGACTGACATCAGTGAAATTAGTGTCTGTTTCCTTCAGAGAATAAAGTGAAGATCAATTAATGAAAACTGAATGGGTGTGAAATATTGCTAGGCAGAAAAATGGAAATGAAAACTAGAATGCTTTTAAGAGAACTTAAGCTAACGAGCAAAAAATACACAGTTCTATCATCAATAAAGAGAACTAAAACCCCATTGTGGTGCAGAGAGGAAGGGAAATCTGTTAAACAAAAGAACAGCGTATAATTAAAAAAAAAGAAATAGATGTCTGTTGATAGAAAATGAGTTGTAGAGTACAGAAATTTGACAGGGTGGTATCCAAAATATTTTACTTTAGGTAGCATATGGCTAATTATGTATAGCCATAAATATTATGTATATAAGGAAAAAAAAGTCCTAGCAATTCTGTAGTCTGCTGCTAGAGGGACATATTAAAATTGTTAATATTGGTGCATAGAAATTGAAATATTTGATCTATTTCTTTTATAAATTTACAATTTGAATGATCATGCTCATGTATTACAAAAGGATGACAACATACTTCTGAAATTAGTAATCCAGAAGGAGAGAATAATAAACAAAGTCTACCAACTTCATCACAGGGGTCCAGAAATAATTGATTGAGGGGATTTCTGGTTCACTAGCGTGTATTAAAATGTTATCTCAGATACTAGGGAAATCCAAATTTACTAGAGAAGTGGTAATATTATGCTTGTGTTCAAAATGTTGAGAGGTCCAACTCAGGAGGTAAGTTAGCTTGATACTGATTATAAATTAATAACAGATTCAGGTAAAAGAGAACAAAATCTAGTAACTATACCAGTCAGGTTAATTTCAATACAAAGTAGTTCCTGAGGAGCAGAGAGATAAGCAGTAGCAAAAGGTAGGGCAACATGGTAGGCATGACCATGGTTGCATGTGTTGGTAAGGCAGACACTTAATTACTCTCTCCAGTTCTAGATTTCACATTTTTTTAAATGTTGGCAAAGCTGTAGAGAAGAGCCATAAAAGAAGAAGAGCTACTTTTTGAGTTCTAAAATGAAGTATGTTACTTCTAATTGGAGATATAAAGAATTCTACCTGTTCTGGATTTTGGAGGGTTTGGTTTGTTTTTATCAAGATGACTGTATCTAATTCACCTTTCGGTTTATAAATACCTTTATAAAGGTGTGTGTAGCTTCAAGCTGGCTCTTTAGTGGACATTTGCATAATCAATCCACTGGCATGGATGGAAGCAAACTCCTGATCACGGAGTAAAATTGACCAGTGCAGAACTGACAGAGGAATAAGCAGCAGGAGATTGTATCTTTTTTTATGTGATCAGTGAAGACTGATGTGGCAAATCAGGACACTAATATTTTAGAATGTCTAGATGCTTGCCACGTCACCCTGGCTGATGCTCCAGAAGGGTGAGGGATTTCCATAATTTCTCAGTTGTACCTGCAAGTTATTTATTGATGCCTCACATATTCTAGGATATCTAAAATGGCACCAGACACCTATGCTCAGCCACTTGAATTGCTCTGTAGATGTCTGTGCTGGTTTTCGCTGGGGTAGAGTTAATTTTCTTCATAGTAGCTGGTATGGGGCTATGTTTTGCATTTGTGCTGGAAAGAGTGTCGATACTTCATGGATGTTTCAGTTATTGCTGAGCAGCGCTTACACAGAGTCGAGGCCTTTTCTGCTTCTCACACCACCCCACCAGTGAGGAGGCTGGGGGTGCACAAGGAATTAGGAGGGGACACAGCTGGGACAGCTGACCCCAGCTGACTAGGGGGGTATCCCACTCCATATGGCATCATGCTCAGCATATAAAGCTGGGGGAAGAAGAAGGAAAGGGGGGACATTCTGATCAATTTTGTCTTCCCAAGTCACTGTTACATGTGATGGAGCCCTGTTTCCCTGGAGATGGCTGAACACCTGTGGGCCGATGGGAAGAAGTGAATGCATTCCTTGTTTTGCTTTGCTTGTGTGAACATCTTTTGCTTTATTAAGCTATCTTTATCTCATTCCATGAGTTTTCTCACTTTTACTCTTCCAATTCTCTTTCCCCATCCCACCTGGGGGGAGTGAGCAAGCGGCTATGTGGTGCTTAGTTGCTGGCTGGGATTAAACCATGACAATGTCTTTCTATGGTTAAGTCAGATATGATTGTTTGACCAAACACAGCAGTAGCTGAATAAAACACAATTAATTATGGCATACAGAAGATAGATTGGATGAATCTTATGGTTTATTCTGCCTTAATGCTTTGTGATTGTATTTGTAAAGTACTGTTAAAATTAAAATTCTTCCTACTTGTGATTACTAATTAAAAAAAAAAAAAAATTTTTTTTTTAAAGATTTAAAGAGGATGGGCCAGTCCAATATATGCAGCATAAAGAAGCCTTGCTGGGGGCTTTAGAGAATTTGGGATGGCCAATTTCCTGTGAAGATGTAATACTGTTAGAAGATGAGATACTGGCAGCTTTAACATATATACAACAAGCCTCTGATCTTCAGGAAGCTGTCAAAAAGGAAACTGAGAAAAGCTCAGAGTCACACATAGGCAACAATAAAAAGGTAATAGATTGGAAGCGATTTTTTTTTCCTCCCAGATATTCCTCTCCAGTATGTTCTTCTGGAATAATTTTTTCCATGATTATAGCTGATAAAGTAGGCATTTAGAATGATGCTATACAAATGGATAGAGGAAAGAAGGTACTTAAAAAGAGAGCAAGCTTTCAATGACTTTTTCAAAGTACCAGTGAAGCATAAGTTCTGGAGCTGAGAACGCCACGGAAATCAAGCCTCTTAGAAATAAATCTGAGGAAAGTATCTATCTTCTCTGCAATGACAGCAGAAATCTATATGAAAGAAGAGAAAGAAGATATATTTTAAAAGCAATTATGATATAAGATTGTGTTTGGGTTAATATTTGATAAACAGGACTAAAAGACCTTGTAATGTTGGAGTAATTCATTGTAGTCTTCTGTGTTTTCTTGTAAGAGAAAAGATGAAGAGGTGCGATTCACCTTCATATTTGGAGACTGAAATTTAGCTGTCCATAAAATGTAGGCATACACAAACTGGTGGCTAATCGCACAGTGTTGTCAATGGTGTCAGTGGCATCTGGAGCTCATCCTGAAGTGGTTACCTACTTTTGGCAGGTCAAAGTGCTCTCTCCATTCCATTAATACATTAGCAGAAAGCAATATAGCTGCTCTGGAACTGTGGTTAAAGTTTGTGATTTTTGATTGAGATATCTATCTCTGTCCCCAGATGAACCTCTGAGTTTACTTGGAATGCTATTTAGAGGTTTAATGAAATGCATATGGAAATACATGAAGCAATAAATATAAAACTAAGGCTAGTAAGTTATTTTAGGCTGCCCTATTGGAAGAGAGAACATACTTTTTCATTTTAGCTTTTTCTGTGGTGGTATATATGGTCAGAAAATATATCTTAGGTTACAGTATTGTATTCTCCTATTATTATTTTCACTCTTTCAGAACATTCTTAAAAATGAATTGATTCTACCTTAATGGTTTTACCTTCAAGATATAAGTATGAATTCTTAGGGAAATTAAGAACACACTTTAAAGTTTTTAAAAACAATTTAATCTTCCTCAGTGGAAAGATTTCTGCATACCCTATTGATGCTTTGAAATTCAAAGTACTTACCTCTGAAAAAAACAAACCATTTCTCTTATTTGGTTTCAATTTTTTTAAATCTAAAAGCTTCATTTAACAGTGTTTCACTGGGAGTGCTGCTGCCTCTGAACCTAGAACTGCTGTCTAGGTAGAGTCTATGATAATATTAAAATAAGCTCTCTAGGAAATTAATAAGAAGGAAAAACTTTTCTCAGACCTCTAAGTTCTAATAGAGAATAAGTAAAAACAAATAGAGAATTAATCATAAAGCTAATCTATTATTATATTCCTTTTTTGTTTATTGTTTTATATCATTGAATGAGGGAAACACTTGAATGTGCATTTGGCTTAGTTGCAGTGAATGCTGAAGAAAGTCCTATGCTTTGTATTATGTAGGAAGCATAATCAAATGATCATAATACTTCTTTTTTGCCCTGAAGTATGCATGTATATGTATACAAATATGTATATCTATACATACATCAATTTGAAGAGGTAAGATAAATGAAACTCAAACAAGCACAGTACAAACCTATACTGTGAGTTCTTAGCAAGAATAGGGATGTACAGTTGTAATTTACAACTGTAAATTATGCCAAGTATCCATATTCTCTGTTTACCAGAGTATATAGCAAAAATATTTTGTGTTACTTGACACAATTCGTTATTATTCGTTGACTGAGATATACCTCTCATCAAGATCAACAATAGTTTTCATGATGAGCTGTGGCCTTTTACATACCATGACATAAGTTATAAAAACTTATTTCTGTTGAATGGAATAGAATATATTATAGTAGTCACACGCCATGTATGAAAATAAGTGATTTTGAAAAGAATCACATTCCGTTTTCTGTAGTTTTTGAGATTTTTTTTTCAATTAAGACTGTATATTTGAAATCATTTTGATGTTTTAAAAAAACAGATGATCTTGATTCATTTTACATTAGTCTGAAAATACTATATTGCTAATACTGGTATTTTGATTATGAAATTACCTCTGCCATATAATGTCCCAATACAAGAGCAGCAGAAATATGTTCATGTTTCATCTGTAGACTGTAATTTTACTGTTGCCTTGAAACAAACAGTGTGTGCTCTCAGACATGATGTGATTAACATTGTGCAGTCACTTATCCCAAGTCAACCTGCTTTAGGAGCCTAATCAGAGCACCATCTTCAGTAATTGCTAATCTGAAACTGAAAGGCTTTAAGAGTGAGAGGCAGAAATGCAGATGTAATTAGAGTTCTGCTCATGTGATGGAAAAAAACAGAAAAAAAATGGGGAGCCTTTTAAAAATGCTGTTGGAGGTTTTTCCAACTGAGATTTCTGTCTATAAAATGGATATAAAAAAATAAACTGCCAGCTGAAGTACACGAAATAGCTGATATGGCACTGAATGAAAATTGTCTTTGCAAGATGGTAGAAAAATCACAATCATCCTGGAGGTCTACTCAACAAAGCAGACTTTCAAATTCCCCGTATTTATTAGCTTATAAGGGTTCCTAATTACTGCACATCTTAAAAGAATTAGTAATCCTTTTTGGATGTCCTTGCTACGAGAGCTTTCTGTTTAAGCCTACAACTGAATTATTGGTCTGGTTATCCTCCCTCTGTGCTCTGATCTTCTCTGGGAGTTGTATTCAGGCTACTGTGTTTGCACATATCTGTGAAAGATAGGGTATGCCAGTGCCTTATTGGAGGAGGATGAAGTAGACATCCATCCGCACAGGGTCGTGAAATGACAAGACCTCTAGTGATGCAAGAAGTAAATGCTTTGGGAAATGGGCAAACACATTATTATCAGGCAAAATATAAACCACCGAACGTTGATGATTACCCAATTGGAGGGCTAATTGTAGACTGTATTTTACTCAGTTTACTCAGTTCCTTTTGCTGTACAGATTAAAGCATGGGTTTACAAAAATATTCCTCTTCAGGCTGGCATTCAGCTTTCATCTAAAGATATTAAAAATGGGGAATGTATTTACTTTATTGTTCGTTGGAGGTTTTTTTCCTAATAAGTAACTGCTTTGGCTTAAGTATCTGTTTTCTACTTTAAACTTGTCAGGGATAACAGTCAGCCATCATTTCTTATGATGTATTTTTCTCACTGAATTATAAACTGTTTATAACATGATGTCACCTAGTCAAAGAATTTTTCAGGGTTGCCTACCCACTTCTCATTAGACCAATTCAGGTCTACTAGGGCCATGTGGCATTACTATTCCCCAAGCACGATAGCTTCCAGGACAGTTTTGTGCATTCCATTAATGACTGTGACATTTTCATGTAAAGTATTTCTTTCCCCAGTGTTATAATCTAGCCTTTGAGAGTGACAGAGAACATTTCCTTTCATACTAAATATTTCTGTTTCTGCATATGAATGGACTTCAGATTCTGCAGAGAAATAAAGCTGCATTAATTGCTAAGGATTAACTCTCATTAAGAATATACTTTTAAAAGTACTGTGTTTCCCTGATGAGCTCAAAAGTGCAAGTCATACACTTTTTTTGTGACCTTGCTGAATGGTCACTATGTGATTAAAAATAACTGAAAATATTTAATAAGCATAATGTGTTTTGTAAAGCATATTTATTTGGGTGGAAAGGGGCCTCTAGTGGCTCACTGAGTCTGTTTTTTCTGGAAAATGACTTTCATATACAATTGATTTAATTATGCCTAATGAAATATTTATAGTTGAGACTTGGTTCTTTACAAGAGTGGAAATTCTGGATCTCCCTTGGAAGTTTCTTCTATTTCCTGGTGTCCTATTTCTTACACTCCTCATTCATCCTCACTGTTTAAGGATCACTAATTGCTGTCTGTTGGTACCTTTTTTGCATTCATGTTTCCTAGACAGCTTGGCACCCCCTCCCTTTGTTCTTGTGTCTCTTTAGGGAGACAAGGGAAAAAAAACATCCCAAATAGTGCAACAACAAAAAAGTTATAACTATCTAGAAATGTTTGGTCAAATTTGCCATTGTCATCAAGTGAAGTAACCTACTGGACAGATAAATGTGTAGCTACACAAAGTTGGGCTTGTTGCTGCTGACAGCCTGGGAAAAGCAGTGGTTGCTTGGCTCTGGAGGTGTCAGAATTGTGAAAAGCCACAGTTAGAGCCAAGATACATGGAGATCTGTGGATAGTCATCTTAACTGTTCTCACTTACAGTAGGAATTTAAAAATGCAGCAATTATTGGCAGAGGTAAACAAAGTCTCCTTCACCTCATGTGGTTTAATGCATTGCCTTCAACAGAAGCAGAGCTAAATGGGGTAAAAATCCCTGAGAATCAGACAAGGTTCCTTTGTAATGAAAATGCTGGAGAATGATATCTCAGAAATGGGCACTCTGACAGTGTTTGGGTCAATCATGCTGAACTCCTAAAGACTGTGTGAGAGGAAGGAGAGATGGATTTGAATTTAGACACCATTTCTAAGCCACGTGAATTCTGCAGGACTCAGCGTCCTAATTGTGGATGCCTGCACAGTCTAGTATTTGGATTAATGCAGAGTGCTGGAAGTTGCCCAAATTATTAGTCTAGCATTACAATTTAGTTGATAATAAATATTCAGCAGCAGCTGTCCCTTTGGAGCCTGAGGAAGTAAGTAAATGGTTTACCCAAATACCTTTTTGTGTCTGTGGAGCTGTAAGTCTTTGCACTCAAATCAGCCTTTGTTATGTTGTATTTCAAGCAGTCAGTTAAGCGCTATGAAGAGCCTCTGGTTCAGGCTGAATTTGAAAACCAGAAGTGTTGATATAATTTATATGCTATAGCAGTATAGAAACTTCAGGATTATTTATTCTATATTTGATAATTTTTTTAATCAGTCATTCCATACAGTGAGGTACTTCTAACGAAAATGTGACTACTGTGAAGACTCACCTACCTGGACAGAGTGAATGTGTATAGCACCTTCACTTATTCTGCAAAATCAGTTGATTTTTCCTTACCTCATCCTTGAATATGAAGTGTACAACTTTTAAATTAAAAAAAAAAATAAAATTCATCTTTGATGATCTTCTCCATGAGTACTTCCTATAACATTGCTTCCTCTGTTTATAACTATTCTGAATATTTAAAATAATTCTAGTTTAGTGTGAACTATCTGCAGAGGTCATAACATTGCATTGCCTAAATTTTTAATTAATTCCAAAGGATAGATTGAGGCTGACTGGCTTACCTGTTGTGGAAAAAATAATTGTATCAAATTACAGAGACTTGAAGGAGAAACTGCGAAGTCAAAGTCTAAAAACAGACAAAAAGATCAAGTATTTGTGATTCAGAAAAACCAAAGGGTGATTGCAAGATCAGATGTCACAGGATATTATTATCCAGGTATATATTTTTGTACACATTTTAAATATTTTTAGAGTTTCTTAATACTGATAAAACATTAGTTTTAGTCATAATTAGCTACTTCTGCCTTAATCAGATTTAATATTACACGTGCATATTAATGAAAAATGCATATATAACTTGCGTGTGCATGTATGTACATTTATAAAAAGACATACATTTTGTAAAGTCAGAAAGCAACAATACATTTATGTAAGAAGAGTACGGAAGGAAATCCTTTTAAGTAACTGAGTATCCAAGAGTATCAACCTGTCTCTCTTGAATGTTTCTGTTGAGTGTTTGGCAAAAGCCAAGCAGCGTGCATGCGTGCGTGTGTGTGTGTGTTTTCAAAGAATTCTCTAAATGCTTCTGCCTTTTTGTTGAGTTTTGAGTCAGAACAATTAGTAGATAAAATTGTGTTCTGTTGTTTCATTTTAAAAGAAGGTGTGTGTGTGTGTTTCATTTTTGTGATACTTGTTTTTTTAAATTACATATTTTTAACTGTGGTAATAGTTTCATTATGTCAACAGTCATCCTCCTGGTCAGTGTACAAATTTCAGACATGGGCTTGAAAGTTATTTTTAATTTTATTTTTATGGAATTATTAGGAATGGTTACTAAGATTATATATTTTAAGTATAAATTTCTCTGTTGCCCTAGCACAGATTATCCTAGCTAAATGCAAATGAAGAATGTATAGTACAGACTTGTTTGACCTCAGTGATGTGTGACAGCATATAGGATTTAAAAAAAAAAAAAATCCACAAGGGGTAAAATAAAAATAATTTAAATATTTAATTATGTTGGGTTTTAGGAACTGTGATAAAGAATATCAGTTCTACCCGTGCACTTGTTGACTTCAGCAATGGAGAGACCCATACTGTACCTGTGAAGTTCACTATACCTGTGGGAGGTGCTATGCCATGCCCGTATCTACAGGTGAAAAATTAGGGGGGTTTTGTGACAGCAAATATGCATTTTTGATTTTGTTCACTTGGTCACACATAGAATAAAGGACAGATTTTAAAAAATCTTTTAAATACATCTATTTATTTTAAAGAAGAGTTTTTAGTGATAGTAATATCATGCTCTTTCAACATGATATTTTTCATTCTTTTGGAGCTTGTTTTCATTGTAATCCGGTTCCTTTGTTTTTTAGAATTCTATATTATTTATAAAACATTAATATTTGCCCACCTATAGAAGAAAGGTGATATTTTTACCAGTAGAAAGGTTGTTTCTTAGCACCTAGATTACGAATCAAGGAGAGCCTTGGTAAGGGGAACATCCAACTCTAGAGAAGATCTGAAGAATTTGATAGAAAATTATGATTTCTGTGTTAATTTTTAAAACAATTTTGTACAAGTCAGTTACATATGGAATTCTCTAAAATTCCCAAGGTTGGCTTAAAAGCTTATTAAAAACATAAATTTGCACAAAGTCCAAGGGAATGAAGAGTTGTAAGAGTTTCCTCATTCAGTCAACTTGCTAGTTGAGCCCTGGTACATTTAGCAGGACTTTGTCCTTTATCTTCAATTTGTGTTACCTTCCTGATTCAGTGGAAATTGTGTGATAGCTACATACAAGGACAAAGTTCTTATTTTCTTTTAAAGATCCATATTGAAGCATGGGAACATGTTCAAATTATGATTCATGTAAAAAAAAAATCATAGTATTTAGATTTTGTGTCTTGTAAAACTCCCAAGTTACGCGGTTCTTGCCAACCGATGTTTTCCTGATGTGCAGGTTGGAGACCATGTGTTTGCCAGAACTGTGACACAGAGAGGACATGAATGTTATGTGCCTGCTATTGTCATAGCAACACCAAAGAGGGTGGAAATGGGTGTCAAACTCTACACAGTTCTGATGTTCAACAACAGGAAAGTAAGTAAACCTAGAAGATGATACCAGTTTGGCAATGGTATTATCATTGTTCTATTTTTGATGAGGCAGATAGATACAATCTGCCAGGCTAATGAGTTCGCCCAATCCCTGTCTCCAGCTAACCAAAGTAAATCAGATTTCAGGGATCAATGAAGAGCTCATGTGATAGACATGAACCAATTCTGTTAGGGTAATTTATTCTTAAATCATACTCTGTTCTTTCCTCTATAATCCATGTGGTGGCTTTCACAAGCTCCATGCTGCTAAAATGAGAAACAGAGGGAGTTTTATCACAGTCAGTATAATCTTCAATTCATTTAATTGTGTTTGTTTGTTTGTAAGCCATTATGATAATTCTACTGCATTTTTATAGTGCATATTAAGAAAATGTACTTTGTATTTTAAACTTTCCATTATTTAGAGGTTGATTACAGTTACATTAAAACAGTTGACTTTTTATACGTATGTATCTTCACTGTTTCTGAGATTTAGATTTAAATTAGATGAATGTTGATTGTGTTATTGCAGGAACACTGTGTAAGAAGCAGGCTTATTAAAATCAGCCAAACAAAGTTCGCCTTTTCCTGTCAGTACATAAGGATGGTGCAGATGGTGGATTATATGACGTGAGTATGCTTGAACCTAAAAATATAGAAGTTATTTTATGTGAATCCTAAATGTTTCACTTTGGCTTCAGCCATGCTGTCAGATTTTCATAAGTAGTAGTGTAACTACAGTTGTGATCTGACTTGCTCTACACATGCAACCAAGTGAGTTGACCTACAAGCATTAACTATCTGTTCTATCATTTTATTTTCTGGCAATTTATTGCCCTATTTTCATTTTTGAAATATTGGTGGGATCCCTTGGTTTGAAACTTAGCCCCAGGAAGCTGTTAGAGGACTACTGGAAGTTGAGATGGAGTTTCTATTTGTTGTAAACCTTATTTTATTGTAATATAAAGCTATGGATTAAACCGCAAATTGTTTCTAAGATACTGAATAATCTACTGCATTTAAATCTGGGGAATGATGGGGAGAGAACATGTAGGATGAATATGAGCTCCTACTTAATTTCTGCAGAACTTATGTAGAGCAGCAATAACATTTTTCTAGTGTGAAGTGTGCACTGACTGCAGTGGTTCCAAGTGATTGTGGATTACTTTTTCATTTTTATTACTTTTATTAAGTTCTAGCTTAATACATTTGAAATAGCTTTGGATTACGATAACCTTCAGAGCATCAACAGTTTCTGACAGCTAGCAACAACATATTTTAGGAAGTAGCCTAAGATCAGAACAATCACCTAGGGATATTTCTCCAGAATACATTCCCAACCTCCAGCAGTTAAGGATTTTCTGAAGCAGAATTGGAGTCTCTGTATTAAACAGCCTTGATGGATTTTTCTTCCATGAATTTGTGTTGTTACTTTTTGGAATTCATGTAAACCTTTATCATACTCTTCCCAGAAGGAGCTGCACCATTTCACATTTTGTGTGAGAAAACATGTACTTTTCCTTTGAATCTTCCATCTGCTTTGTCATCCCAGAAGGGTTTCCTCTTCTGTGTGTATCAACATAGTATGGGCACTGCTGCCAAAGAATTGTATAATCTCTACCATGGGAGATTTCTTTCCCATTATTGCATGAACAGGACAAATCCTACCTTTAAAGGCAATTTTAGAAGTTCTTAATTTTTATTGAAATATTCTAATATCACAGAAACCTAGAATCACAGAATGGTTTGGGTTGGAAGGGACCTTAAAGATCATCTAGTTCCACCCCTCTGCCATGGGCAGGGACACCTTCCACTAGACCAGGCTGCTCAAAGCCCCGTCCAATCTGGCCTTGAACACTGCCAGGGAGGGGGCAGCCACAGCTGCTCTGGGAAACCTGTGCTAGTGTCTCACTATCCTCACATAAATTAATTTCTTCCTTATATCCAATCCAAATCTGCCCTCTTTCAGTTTGAAACCATTACCCCTCATCCTATCACTACACTCCCTGATAACGAGCCCCTCCCCATCTTTCCTGTAGGCCCCCTTTAAATACTGGAAGGCTGCTATAAGGTCTTCCCAGAGCCTTCTCTTCTCCAGGCTGAATAACCCCAACTGTCTCAGCCTTTCTTCAGAGGAAAGGGCTTCCAGCACTCTGACCATCTTTGTGGCCCTCCTCTGGACCCTCTTGAACAGGTCTATGTGCTTCTTATGTTGTGGGGGCCCCAGAGCTGAACACAGCACTCTAGATGGGGTCTCACGAGAGCAGAGTAGAGGGGCAGAATCACCGCCTTTGACCTGCTGGCCACACTTCTCTTGATGCAGCCCAGGATACAGTTGGCTTTCTGGGCTACAAATGCACGTTTCTGGCTCACAGTTTTTCCATCCACTACTACTCTCAAGTCCTTCACTACAGGGCTGCTCCCAGTCCACTCCTCGCCCAGACTGGATTTGTGCACGGGATTGCCTCAACCCATGTGCGGGACCTTGCACTTGGCCTTGTTGAACTTCATGAGGTTTGCACAGGCTCATCTCTCTAGCCTGTCAAGGTCCCTCTGGATGGCACATCCCTTCCCTCCAGTGTGTCGACTGCTCCACACAGCTTGGTGTCATCGGTGACACTGTTGAGGGTGCACTCAATCCCACTGTCCATGTTACCAAGAAAGATGTTAAACAGTGCTGGTCCCAGTACTGATCCCTGATGAATTCCAATAGTCACTGCTGTCCACTTGGACATTATGCTGTTGGCTGCAACTCTGAGTGTGACCATAGAGCCAATTCCTTATCCAGTGAGTGGGCCTATCATATCTGTGTTTCTCCAATTTAGAGACAAGGATGTTGTGTGGGACAGTGTCAAAAGCTTTGCATAAGTCCAGGTAGTTAAAGATTGCATCTCAAAATGATGGGCGAGGGTACCAGTTGTGGGCTGATCTATGGCTCATGATACTAGAAAATGTGTGGGAAACAGGGCTTGAATCAGTGTTGCTTTTTTGTTCCATCATTCTCAAGTAGTGATTCCAGTGCAGCTTGAAACTCATTCTTCTACCAGCTTGCAGCCACAGAACATAAACAAATGAACACCCCTACTTTACTAAGCAGAATTCCAGATCTGAAAATACATCAATGCCTTTTGATGGTGACATCACCTACATGACAGTAGCTTCTTTTCACCAAAAAGTAATCCTGAAGACCATGGTTTCCTATTTCATGCATACAACCGGTTGAAAAGAGACAGGCATATAATGGACCTGAGTTTCAGCAAAATCAGTGGAAGTCTTTTCCTTCCACTGAATTGGATTATATTCTAAATGAGGTACCTTATTAAGAAAAGATGTGACTAAATGCATAAGCAATAAGTATGGCTTTCACTCTCCATTCTTTGTTTCATGACTGAATGCTTGAATATAAAATTTAATAATCATTCTCCAGACTGAATGCTTGAATATAAAGTTTAATAATCATTGTCCAAATGGACTTTATTGGCAATCTGACTTGCTATTGTTATATACAAATGATGAGAAAAGTGAGTTATTCATGGGCAAACAGAGGAATTCTTCAGAGAACTGACAGAAATTAATGCACTAAATTTTTGCAAATGAGAAATAATCTGCATTTTAGATGAAGGGATATCAAATTTGGCAGATCTCAGTAAAATAGTATGTGAAACTGCATATTCAAGTCATATTAATTGTGGAGTTCTATATAGTGTTTCCAGCTAATAAACGCTGATTTGGTTGTAAATGCACTGGCCAGTTTGTATAGCAGATGACTGAAATTAATGAAATCTAAATAAAATATTGTTGCCAATCCAAACAATATTGTTGCCACAACAACAACAACAAAAAGAACTCTCAGTTAAGGCATTCATTTTATCCCCTTTAAACGCAATTAAAACATTTTTTTAGCATGGTCTGGAATAGAGCATAAATTTTGCAAGCATAATGATTGAGCACACCAATGTCTTACAGTTGTTTTAAAGTCTGAAGTTTTCACCACATTGTTTCTGTTTTTTCTTGCAGCAGTTGTAGATTTTAGAAACAAACCATTTTGAGATGACAATCTTTTTACTGCAAAATGTCTCTGGTTTTGAGGATAGCACTGTTCAGATTGTCCTCAAATTACCTCCATTAAAGGAACATGAAAAATGCCTCCAAACAATATTATTTCAAATGCTTTTACTTACATCTGATTGCTAGTGTTTTAAAGACAGACATACAAAGGGCCGTTGTGGGACTCAGAACAGTAACACTTGAGCATTTGGCAGGTCTGAGAGTGGAATTTAGGTGCTTTGGCTCCATGACTGTATACTGAATGTCGAGATTTATAGCATAGAGTGCAGTGAAATGTGTAAAGCAGCTAATAAGAAATGACAAAGAGAGTTGAGAATCTGGAACTGAGACTCTCTTAACTTAGATACCCACTTACATCCCTGGACTAGACATATTTGAGCCTTTGGGATTCCCAGGGTTCTCTCTTGGCATTGGATAAACTGCATTAATAGTAATTTTTAGCATACAGGCAACATAGACCTAACCCCAGGTACACAGATGAAGTGCATTAGTGTGCCAATAAAAACCTTGGTGATCACCACTGATCCACAATATTCCACTTGCCAGAATCACAGAACCTTCTTTTGCACATTCCCAACTTTATCATCTACTGCAATATATTTGTCTCCATCTTTTTCCACACTATGTGTCATATCTGGTTCTGATGAATTTTTAGTCTCTTTTCCAAGAATTAACAATAAGCCTGGTACTGTAGAGCTTTTATAGCTGAGTCTTTTAAGTTTCCTACTTCTTGGATCTATAACTCTCTACAGTAAATTGCTTTGTAAGACTTGAGTAGACAGTCCCCAACAATGCACTTACTAATCAGAATGTTTGTCTTTTGCTTTTTCTCAGCTAGGTTTTGAGTTCTCCATAAAGTGAAATCTCATTCCTTTCTTGCTAGTTAACATGTCACTTATGCATCATATAGACATACATAACATCCTTTTGTGGTCATGGACTACATTAGCTCAGGAGCTGCATCATAAGAAACTGGTAGTGGCTATGATTTTACTTTATACTTGTTTATTCATGTAACTGCCATGCCATGTTGAATGATTGTTTTCCTTTTATAAGGAGATGTACAGTCAAAGCCATTACACAACTGTATTTCATTAGTTACACATTAATTGGTTACTAATTAGCAGTGCTATGGCAGTGCTTCAGCCCATATTGGGTTGGAGCTTCCATTAGAGTCCCTATCTTTTAGAGGGCATGGGAGTGTGCTTTCCACTGAAACATTATTTATTATATTCTAAAATAGATACCTACCTTCCATGTCATTTTTATTAGAGAGGAACAGTGCAGCATATTGCTCATGGATATGCACAGATCTAATGAGAACATACTGACATTGTTGATGAAACAAAGTAGAAGCATAATTTAATCAGAAAGCAAACAAAAAGTTTGAATGCAGTACAATATTAGAAGCTCAAAAAGAGACAATCCTTGTGTGCTAAGTCCTATAGAAGGGAAAAAAAGTGAAAGGGATAGGCCAGGCTCCCCTGCTGACAGAGTCCACAGAGGACATTGTATTACCCATAGCTTGGCTAACTCTTCAGCTCTGGGTTCTTTGGGATTGTCTTTTGGTGTTTATGTGGTGTGTACTAGGGGTCATGCTTAATTCACTAATCTTTAGAGGTACTAACAGAGCTTTCATCATTTTAAGATCAGGTATTAGCATCTCTTTGGGGTCTTTTCCTGCAATCAGAGTAGAAAGAAGTAATCATGGCAGAACAAGGACTCTGAAAATATAACTAAAAAATTCCATATGTAAAGTAAACCACTATGTGCTCTGGGCCCCCACCATAAAAGACAATTATTGCCCAAACCCTTTTTGGAGAGATAGACAGAATTAGGGGCTGTAGCCCTGGTTTAGGCTAATTTTTATTTATTTTATAAATAAAAGGGAAACTGAATTGTAAGACATTTATAACCTTGTCAAATGGACAAGAGTGTGGTAAGTCCCTCTCTTGTCAGTACTGTGAGATGTGGGAGAAGGTGATATCCATGCCATGAAAAAAAAGGTTGAAAATAGTATATGGTATGTATGCTTTTAGCTTAGTGAATTTCCTTGTCTGATTTTCTAGTCTGGACAGGGAGACCACAAAGCCTTATCCTCACTCATCTGTGGAAGATGAAGGAGAAGAAGCAAAGAAGTGTATTGTGAAAGAAGATAGGGGAAAAAAGAAACAGGAGAGCGGTAGACAGAAGTCATCCAGGGAGAGGATATCAGACTCTGATGATCTTCTATGTCTCCAGAAGGGAAGTAAAACAGAAAGGAAGAAATTCACTGCCTAGTAATGAAGAAGATTTTGGAAGTAAAGAAGTAGCTCTGAAAAATTATAAATACGGGTCTTTAGTTAATCCCCACACAAAGAACCAGGTTTCTGCATTTCTGGGTGTTAGACCAGCCTGCTTTTCCACGTCCTGTGTAATAAGATTCTTTCACCTCCTTTGGAAACCATTCTTCACACTGATCATTCTCAGCATGTGTTTCCACAGCAAAGAGAAGAACTGAATAAAGCATGTTCTGACATATGCTACCTAACATTTGTAGTAGCAATGAAGATGCAGTAACACCAACGTCAGTATCTGCTAGAGTATATATTCCAGTCCCTCTACTTTTGTTGCTTGTTAAAGGTATGCCTATATTGCAGGCATTAAATTATTGCATGTGGAGCTCAATACTTCAGAGGTTAGATTGCTTTTAGTGTCTGAGGTAGCTCAGTTAAAACTGACAACAGTATCTATGTTCCCTGTCACTGCAGTAGAGACAGGGGCTGACATAGGTATGCCATTACGTGCCACAGTCAGCTCTTCTTTTTAAAGATCCTACTGTCAGTGGAAAGATAAGAGGACTTTTGTCCATACCTGCTAGCTGTACCTTGAAAGCATGTTTAAAAATCCTCATTATTTATTTACTTTCAGAAGCAGTGGATTATAGATTCAATCAATCATCATGTTGTCAATCAACCTGATTTGGTGCTTCTGAACTTTCCTTCTAGTTTCCATTCATCTTTTAAAGATTGCCTACAAATTCCATTTACATTGATTATAATGGGTATTACGGTGCCACTGCATTTTAGAAGTGGCCTGATCAGAATGACATGGGAGCAGAGGTGCTGGACTTGTCCTGTAGCTGTGTGAGAGACCATGGCTTCCACAGGTAGGGCTATTTCACTGGAAATGCTCAGTTATCCTATACTCCTCCCTTTTGGATGTCTTAAAATGCATATGCTGAGTAAATGTGAAATAATACTGATGTGATCAGCAAGTCCTGTAAGTGATTCCATGCAGGTTGAAAGAAACGTTAAATGCGAGCAGTGACTATCTATGCACTTGAATTCTGCCTAGATTTACTAGATTATCTCACAGTACTCTATTGAGACTCTAACAAGACTTCACGGCAGTGTGCAGGTTGAACATGCTAAAGAAGGTACCCATGTCCTTTTCTTATGACTCCATGGGCATTGGATATGGCTTTTTTTTTACTTAAAATGTATTTTCATGTACATATTCCTCTGTGTTTTATCAGAAAGGGGAAAGTCAGAGAGCTGATGAAGATGTTAAAAAAGACTATATGGTCATCCTCACAGGGTTTCATCAGGTATCTCTTTATCCAATCTCCATATATGATTGTCTGTTTGTTGTCTTTGGGTGTAGATATTTGTGCCATTTTCAAACTATGCTAATGATTTCAAAGCATTTTGTATATATGATTTTGTAAATTATATCAAATGTGTTACTTGACCCCTGACACAGATCTATTTTAACTTTCATTTTAAAGAGTGAAGAGAATAAAGAAAATAAATTTGCCTGGCATTGCTTTTTCCTTCTACCCAAGGTTCGGGTCTAGTATGAACTATTAGTTTATACTTACTGTTTGGCAGTCCAATATGTGCTGAGCACCAGATCTGTGAGATTCACCTATATGGGTTAACACTCTCGGAAGTAGTCTTATTTAATTAAATTGATGTAAGTGTTTAATAACATGGGTGAGGTGTTGGAAAACTCTATTGTTCTAATGAATTGTTCCACTTGTCTCCATGGACCAGATAATGAAAATATCTGGTATTTAGCAATGCACTTTTCCTTTATGGAGTTTTTGTAATACTCAAATTTGGCTGGATATTCAAGTCAGGAGCCTAAACTGTAAAAGTACTTCTGAGCTGAAACACCCTGTTTTCATCTTCAGACACCTACATAACCCTAAGATCTCAGTTGTTGGCCTTCATACGCTGGACACACCGATGTTCATCAGAGTGAGCCCTTACCTGATTTTCCTGGTAGCTGTTTTCAATACTGCATTATTTCTTGATTGTTTATAACAAAGGCAGTTTTTTAAAAAATAGAGTCAGCATCTCAGAGAAATGTTTTAAATACCTGTAAGTACCATTAATAGTAAAAGCTAATAACTTTGGTAACTAAATATCTTTTACAGTAACTAGGTAATACTTACTTTTCATAATTTCTAAAAGCAGTCTATTAAGCTGGCAACTGATTTATCTGAAAAATGAATAATCCTTCCACATACTAATTTTCCTTGTGATATTGAATACCTGAATATTTTGGATATCTTTTGACTTTCAAACCAGCTCAATAGTCCTGGTCTGTTTGCCTGAAGTAAAGGCTTTTTCTTCATATTTATACATAATAGTTTTCTCTATGTGTATATGTGTATAATGTGTCAAAGCATGTAATGCGATCAGCACCTCCTGCGTTTCCTTTCCAAAGGTTTGTCTTGTCACTTCTTATGAACTCTCCAGATACATGTATATTTTTTTGATAATCTGATTGGGCTGTGTTTTGTAACTACTCCATGTGCTAAGCAACAGTTCATCTTACGTTTCTGCTGACTGCGTGTGTACATTCATCTGTTATATGAGGAAGTAAGTTCTCCTGAACTTGAATGAGCATTGACCGATATAGAGGTGGATTTTTGTGCTCTCCAAGATAATGTGGATTCATCTACATGGCTTTTACCATGGTGGTTGATAAAGCCTTTTATTTCCATGACCTGTGGGTCCTCTATGAATTAATGGAGCATTTTGGAAAGTTTGTTGTTTGCTTTGTGCTCAGCTAAAATGTTCCTGATTGTTAGGAGGAATCAACAACCCATTCCTGTTGTGCCCACTCAGGGAAAAAACATTAACAGAAGTGAATAAAGATTAAGTAATAATGTTAGTTATTTAGTGTATATTAGCTTCATTATTGTGTTGATGTGTAATTTTGTCTTGCTTATTCAAAAAGTCTTATATTAACATGTTATTATTTTAATATTTATGCTTACTGCTCTTATTGTGTTAGTTAGCTCTGTATGTTTATAAGAGAGTGAATGAGGTTCTGGCAAATTCCGGCTGACTGTTAGTGGGCTAATGATTCTTTGTGTAGGTAACTCAAATAATACTGTTTGGCTGAACAAATCACAAATACTTGACTCTGTCATTGGTTACTGCAATAATTGTTTTTATAGATACTTTAAAAAACAGGTGCTTGTTTCCATAGAAAAATTCTTCTCCCTGTGTTGCTCTGGGACAGAGCAGTCTTCCCTCCGTTCTGTAATGCCTAAAATCAATGCTCATTTCACATGATTTCCTTGCTGATTTTCCAAAATGGTGATACAGTGAAAAACTAAATCAGAAAGCAATTCAGAATGAAGTACAGGTATAACACACAGTAACAGACTTCATTGCCTGATGCATTAGCAAATCATAGCTAACAGACCCCAAATCTCCTTTATAATTTATAATGAGATGTGACTTGAAGCAATTACACTGATAATTACTGTAACTGCTAATACGGGGTAGGTGGGAGACCTTTGAAAATGACCATTTTCTATCCTTTTCTGTGGTAAATCTAGTTCTTCTGAATTGGGTTCAAGAGTGTAACAGCTGTGGCACCTGGCAGTCTAGTGGGTTGGCTGGATTTCCCACAGTAGGATCTCCCATTTTTAGCACCCACTTGTTTTCCAGTCTCATTTTCCAGATAGTTCATTCAGCATTTGGAGGAGGCTAAGCAGTATTCCCATCTGTTGGTCATGGCTTGTTTAATAAGCAGTTGATGTCAGTTCAGCTATGCTTGCATCTGTTACTTACTGCAGCTGTGTGTTGTTAAGGGCTCCCCAACAGCCTCCAGATTTAGCCTTTGTTTTTCTGTCGATAGCATGTTACAACTTGGCCAGAAAGACTCTTTATCTCTCTCTCTTTCTCTCTCCTGTCAGAGTTGTCCGCTCATCAGAAGAAGAAAGTCTGTTAAACTTCCTGTCTCTTTCCCATAAAGAACAAAACATGGAGTCATGCAAGGCAAGAAAGTGCAGTTCCATTGGTGGTGGGGTGTCTGAGGGTGGAGAGGATGGGCAATTCTGTCTGGGTTCTGGGAGCAAGACCACAGTGGTTTCTTTCAACATCTTGGGAAAGTACATATAGGGCACATGCACGTGGTAAAGAAAATAAAACAGTTTGTGAATTGTGTGTGATGGGGAACATTCATCTAACAGTGCATCTTTCATTTTATTCAAGGTAGCAGTATGGCCACAATACCTTTCAGTATTTTCATCTGGCAATGTTTTCATACTGCAAACAGATACTGCCAGCTTATAGGATACAGTCAAGAAATTTCCTGACCCTCACACAGGTGAACTCTAGATTCCTGTCTCTTAAGGTGCCCAGGAAGAATCAGAATGTTCATGCAGTGTATCTAAGTGCTGATGTTGGGCATTGATAAAACAATTTCCAAAGGCACACTTTTGATTTTTTAAACCCTCAGCTTCAGAGTTTTCAGTGGGAGCTATGGATGATCAGCGTTCCTAAAATTAATCATACTCAAACCTCGTACTCTCTATGTACTCAGTCTGTGCTGTTGCTTCCCCACCCTCTATATCATATATTTATTCTTCAGATGCCTCCCACAATTTTGTTTTCTACTTCATGGGTGTTTCTTATATGATCATTAAAAAAAAAAAATCACCCCTAAAGAAATTTATGAAGCAAAAAAGAGTATATGATTTTGTTTACTTTGTTTCTTCCTATTTTATTCTCTTTTATTTTTCCTCCAGCTTCTGGTTTTCTGCCATTCATTCGTTATTTTGTGCCAGGAGGGTGCCTAGCAGTTGGTGGTCTCATTTGATATGGTTGTAAAAAGTGACTTTTGAGTGACACAGTATGGTTAATAGCAAATCAGAGAAGATAAGCATGGTTTTACTGGGTCAGACAAAGATTCATGTAGCCCGGACTCTGTCCCCAGCAGCGGCTAGAAGACAATTCCTGAGGAAGAGTAGGAACAAAGGTTGACATGTCACTAACAGCAGCTACGAGCTTAGAAAGTAAGAATACTTAAAAAGCAGACTGGTTTGAACTTGTGAGGATGAAAACAGAAAGGGAAGCAATGAAAAGCCTCTTTACACAGGACTATTGATCTCTTACCATAGTCATGGAGTCATTTGTTCCATGATAAATTTCAGGGCATGTGTTGGTGTGTGATGAAGGAGCTTGAGAGGAATGGATGAGCTGCAGATAGGAAAGAACTTTAACACCCATAACTGTGAAATTTTATTCTCTGAATCAAAAATAAACCGTCTAGTTAATGCCAAATGATTTTGCAGACTTACTTTGGAAGTATGAAAGAGAAACAGTGTCAGAGGTTCAGCTGTGCTGCTGCCAAGTATCAACAGGAGAAGAGAGAATAGAAAATTGTATTTGTCAGAGTATCCTTTGTTTGCCGTAGACCTATTTGATTTATTAAGTGTGGGTCTTTCTTACAAAATGTCTTTTTCCAAAACTCGTTTTTCACAGACTCAGTCTGTAAGGCATCTGGGAAGACCTGCTACAGGGAACTTACCCAGTTTTCCACTGGTGCTGACTTTTACATGTATCTGTCCTAAAGCTTTTCCACTGATGGGCACTGTCCCGTAACACAGATGAGGTGCTTTGCCCTT